AGATTCTATCTATAACAAGGCAAAGAGCTATAGGGCGCTATACTACTAGAAGCGCTATAGGGCGCTGTACTAAGAAGGTTAATATATATATTTTACCTAGCGGGGCATAATACCTAGATAAAAGATAGGTTCTAGCTCTAGACTCTTGATCTAGAGGATTAAGAATTAGCTTTAGAAAAATACGATATTTATTACTATTATAACTATTCCTAGCTAAAACCTTGTAATAATTCTGATTCTTCTCTATTAGCTACTAATAGTTATAATAGTAGGAAGTAGTAGTAAAGATAAACGAATTCGCGAATCCCCTAACCCGATTAACCCTCCTAACGAACCAGCGAGTTAAGAGAATAGTAGCTATACTTAGCTAAGAGAGGTTGATTATACTACTCTTCTAGAGCGAATCGCCTAACTTGAGACATCTTTATCTTAAACTAAACGCTAAAACGATCTATTAGAGTAGCTCTAGCAGATATTATTAGTACGACTAAAACAGAGTCTTACCTCTAGCGAAAGGGGAGATATCAAGGTTAAGAATATCGAAGTATTTACGCTGAAAACTAGCTACCGAAAGCATACCGAATAGCTTTAAGATTTAGAACAAGCCTATGAGGGAGCTTTTAAAAGATATAAAACCGATATTAAAAAGATAGTCCTAGCACTAGACTATATGGATGCCGACTGCCGAGCGAGATAGTACCTATATAAGGATAATTTAGATAAGGAATACTAGCTAAACGCCTGGGAATATCTATACTTTGTTTATTAGACGAAAATACTTGTTAGAGATACTTAATTCCGGGAACCCTAAATTATAAAACAACTAGTTACTATAAGATAGCGATTAGATCAAGAGCTATAAGACTTTCATACTTATTTATAGTCTCTAGAAAAGGAATTTACCCCTTATCTAGAAAAAGAAAGTACTTTAGAATTTTACGCTAAGTTAACTAATAAATTACGGAAGTATATATAGACTAATACTACTAACCTCCCTACTACGCGAGAGGCTATGGTAGCTATGTCTGCTCGATATTAGGGTGTTATCCGGCCGAACCCTAAGCGAAAGCGCGATGATAAACAAGATAGTAAACTAGGAAGGGTTAAGAGATAAGCTCGAAATCCTACTTCCTCTTCTCCTTAGTCGAGTCTTAAAAAAGGAGGGAAAAACGGCGTTAACTATACTACTAGTAAACTACGCCTTTATTATATCTACGGTAGTCCAGACTATTTATCTAATATTTATACTAAATCCTTAAAAGAGGATAGAGAGAAAATAAAAGGAAAAACAAGGGTTTAGCAAGCGACTACCAATACTAACACCTCTGCTTTAGGAAAAGGCAAGGGGAAGGAGTAACTCCCTATCCTCCTTCCTAGCTTATAGTAGGGACTACTTAACGATTCTATACCTCTGCTAAAGTTAGAGGAAACCGAGTAATAGTATCTACTAATATTGATTTTAATTCGGAAGCCGAGTACGATTTAGTTTCGTATACCTTTATATAGTAGTAAAGACTAAATCAAGCTAAGCTAACCCTTCTAATCCTATCTATACTAAGGCAAAGTACTATCCCTACCTATAAGGTCTTTCAGGTTCTACTTATCCTTACCGATTTGTAAGGAACTCGTCGGTCGTTTACTTATTCCTATATAGCAATTAACCGCAACCCTCGACCTAAAGGAAGCCTTATATTACTTTTAATAACTACTATCAAGTACTATAACATTTTCCTAGGGGGAAAAAACCGTATATAGTGGTTTAAATATCTATAAAGGAAATAAGAGAAGTGCCGAGCCTCTTGCTTTGTAAAAAAGGCTATTCGAGAGAAGGCGTAGGTTTTCGCTATTATATAGCTCCCCGAACTATAACCTCTCCTAGATAAAGAGGAAGAGGAGCCTACGATTGGGATTATGGCTATCCCCCCGGAACTACGTTCGTTTATTAACGTTCTTATACCTAAGAATGCTAAGAATCTCCTTATTTTCAAAGCCTTAGACTATTCTATTAACATAGAGGAGGGAAAGTCCCCCCCTTAGGGTCTTATCTACCCCCTATTACCTAAGGAGCTAGAGGAACTACGTAGTTACCTCGAAGAGAATCTCTAAGCAGGACGTATTCGTCTATCAAAGAGCCTGGCTAAGGCCCTTATTATCTTCGTCCCGAAGAAGGATAGTTCCTTACGACTTTGCGTTAATTACCGAAGGCTAAATCGTATTACGGTTAAGAATCGCTACCCTCTCCCCTTGATTTCGGAGATCCTTAACCGGATTACTAGTACCTAATATTTTTCAAAGATCGACGTTAAAGATATATACTATCGCATACGTATTAAAGAAGGAGATAAATAGAAAACCGCGTTTCGGACCCGTTATAGTTTATATAAGTTTTACATTCTCCCTATAGGTTTAACTAACGTACCTACTACTTTCTAAGCATATATTAATAATGCTTTAGAAGGCTTAGTAGATACTATCTATATCGTTTATCTAGATAATATCTTAGTCTTTTCTAAGACTAGAAAAGAATATATAAACTATTTATACTAAGTCTTATAATATATACGAAAAGCTACCTTATACGCTAAACTATCGAAATATACCTTTTACTAACAACAAGTTAAGTTTTTAAGGTATATTCTATCTATAGAGGGAATCTTTATAAACCCCCGTAAGGTTAAGGCAATCGCCTAATAGCTAGAGCCGACAACCTTCCGAGAAGTTTAGGTATTCCTAAGGTTTTATAACTTTTATCGCAGATTTATCTATAAGTACTCTAGGATTATACGCCTTCTTACTAATCTCTTAAAAGGAAGTATAGGAGGCTGTAAGCCTAGTAAAGTATAGTTAGGATTAGCCGAGAAGGTAGCGTTTAGGATGCTAATCCTAGCATTCCAAAGCGCCTTTCTCTTACGCTACTATAACCCTTAACTAAGGTCCTGCATTAAGACCGATACTTCCTACTATATAGCAGCTAGTATCTATTCCTAGCTATAGCTAGACGGGAAGTAGTATCCTATTGCTTTCTAGTCTAGGAAGTTTAAGGGGGTAGAGTTGAATTATAGAACGCCTAACTAAGAGATGTTAGCTATAGTAGAATCATTTAAACACTAGCGACACTATGTCGAAGGGGCGGCGTTTCTAGTAGAAGTTCTAACTAATTACTAGAACTTATAGACGTTTATATTATAGCTAAGGCTAAATAGTCGCTAAGCGCGATATTACATACTATTAGCTTTATATGATTTTGTTATTCGATATCGATAGGGGAGAACGAACCCCGTAGATAGGCTGTTAAGAAGACTAGATTACGAAGGCGAAAAGGGGTCGAATACTAACCTATTACCTACCTTATAAGACAAGGTAGACCTATCTTAGAAGGATATAGTCTTATAGCAAAACACGCTAGGCCGACGTATATAGGCTGTTATATAGGCTACGGCCTGTCGAGCAGCTTATAAAGAGGAAGTTTATAGTAATAATACTTCTAACTCCCTTAGTGCCTTAATTAAGAAGGCTTAGGAAGAAGATCTATTATATAGACGTCTTAGAGAAGCGTTGCAAGCAGAGGTACTAAGGAAACCATATTAGTCCTTATTACCTTCCGGCTTCGTTTAATTCTATAGGAAGTTATATATCCCTAAAGAAGCTAGTCTAAGGTTAGAGATCCTCCGTCTATTCTATAACGATCTACTAGCAGGATACTTTAGAAGAGACAAGATACTTAAGTTAATCTAGCGAAAATTTCGTTAGATTAATATAGAGAAAACTGTTAAAGACTATATTCGAAGATATATAATATGCTTAGGTACTAAAGCTAAGACCTACCGACCTTATAAGGAGTTATAAGCTTTACTAAGACTAACGCAACCTTTTAAATAAGTATCTATAGACTTTATTATAAGCTTACTACTTATATTTAATAGTTACTAACTCGTAGATACGATCTTTATTATAATAGATTGTTATACTAAATACTATATTTATATTATAGTTAATACCTTTATTACTATAGTAGAACTAGTTATAATTTTCTACGAGAAGGTTAAGTTATTCGGAGGCAGCTTTAAAAGAGTTATCTTTAATAAAAGACTTGTTTTTATAAGCTAATTTTAGGCTTAATTCTGCTATTATGTAAAGATAAAGAGAATGCTTTCGATAGCGTTTTATCCCTAAATAGATAGCTAAATAAAGGTAGTAAACAAGGCCTTAGAACAATATTTAAAAGCGTTTATAATAAATAGAAATTAGCCTACGCTACTAGCATAAGCATAATATATAGTAAATAATAGAAGAAATGCTATAATAGGAATTTTACTTATAAAGGCATTACTAAGCTATTAGCTAGAACTACGCCTTAACCTCGAGGACGAGGTTGTTTAAGGGGGAGTATAAGGCGTAACTAAATGGGAATTGATAAGGACGCATCACGAATTGATAGGGACGCATCATCCTTAGGGACGCATCACATTCTAAGGTTGTGATTGGCTAGAAATTTTGGTGACCTATAGGTACAAGTCGGCGAAGGCGGTGAGGCCAGCGTTACTAACGCCCCACCTTTTCACAGCCATAAGAGGCCTGCCTCCGTTTCATAGATATAAAGCCGGCCCGCCCTACTAGCCTACGTTTCTTAGCTATTCCTCCTATTTAAGATTTGCAAAACCATTTAAACGACCGCTTTTGCAAATCTCAAATAGTAAGTCTTTTTCTTCCTTTCTAAGGAGGAATTAAGTTTTATTAAACTAAACTAAAACGGCTTTTATAAATCTTAATTAATTTCTACTTCTACTGGGGAACGGCGGGCAAGCCGCCTGTTGAAGTAAGCCTCCCGTTAGGAAGACGAGCTAGTAATCGGGTTAATGTTTCACCGGTCCAGGATTAGTAATCCTACCAAGACGACTCCATGTTCATGCATAATTACGGGTGATCACGGCGCTTAACTATCAGATCCTTTCCCCTCACCTTAGACAATTCTGGGTTTTCTTGATATTGCGCTTCAAGTTATGGCTCAACAAGCTCTTATCAACTTGCCAGCTGAACTGATAACCGAAATCTTTTATCATCTATTATCACCAGACCCTAAGCACTTGCGGGACTATCAGAACTTCCGGGAAACATGCAAAACTATAGCTGAGGCAACGTCTTCAGCTTTCAAAGCACGCTTCTTCCGCATTCGCTACGTAATGCTAGAGAAGGAAAGCCTATTGAATCTTGTGAACATTTCACGCCACCATATTCTGAGTCAAGCGGTTGAAGTTGTCGAGCTCTGCGTTGATCATCTCATCCAACCCAAAGACTACATGAGCCACGAAGAACTAGAGATTTGTGGACTCAAAGACGAGTATGATTTCTTCCGAGTTCGGAATGGCGAAGTTGTCTTACTGGGCGACGATAGTTGGGAGCAAATAATCCAAACCTATAAGGATGGATGGCAGGAGCAAACGGAATTCTTCTCCCAAAGGCAACATATGAGTTATTTAGCGATAGCTCTCACTAACCTCAAAAACTGCAAAGCTATTGGGATATCGGATCATACCCGACCATGGGGCGCCTTTAAGCTTGGGCGACGTATTGGCGTACTTCCAAATAGGTTTATTTCTGATTTCTTACCTAATAGCATGGTTCATGCCTTAGTAGTAATCAGAACACTGTTTTTCGCACTTATTAAGAGCCGCCTTCCCATAGAGGAGATATATATCGAGTTTGGAGATATGATGGAAGGTTGTACGTCTGTTATTCCACGGATGCTATCGCTCCCAAGCAGTCTCGCAAAAGCCGTAAAATCCGAAATCACGACCATCACAAAGCTCAGTCTTGTTATCAATCCTAAGGATAGCGATAATCATTTCAGCCAAGAAATTAGAAAATTCTTTGCAGAGAATGACCCAGTATAGGAAGAAAAATATGATTGGCAATCAGACTTTCATAGCTTCTCTAGCCTTTTTCCAGCGCTCACCGATATTACTTTATTCTTCAACTATTGCGAAGAGAAGCAACAATTTCCAGGACTTTCAGAAAGCCTCTATATTCCTCTTCTTCAAAGGTTATGCCTTGAGTATCTAGACTGCACGAGAGACGAACTCCTGACGCTCTTACGGCGACATCAAAATACACTTCGAAGACTTACTCTCGAAAATGTTAAAATTACTACCCAAGGTCTAGACGCTTGGTCTTTTCTCATACAAACTCTTCAGAACGAATTTAGATTAGATGAGTTGGAAATAAGAGGGTGTGGTATTGACGATTGCGATTTTAATATAGATTTTGATCTCCCTGATCGACTTTCTGCACATACCAGCGAGGAAATGAATTTACTACAAAAGGAAATACTTCAGGTTGAAGAAGAAGAAAGACTTAAAGGGATCCAAGCATAGATAGCGATCTTCTTAGTATTGAATTTTGATATGCCTCATGTTTTCCAACGCAGACTATTTCCTCCCACGCAAACTGCCCCGTTTAGGCCGCTTCGTTGGACTCGCCCCATCACTGCTGTCTTCAATAGTCTCTACCTCTCCGGATCGCTTTATATTAATAGGCGCGACGTCGCGGAGGCCGTTAACAGAAAACGGATCATCATTATCGACAATGGCGTCCGAGGCTTGTAAACCTAAGCATATTAGCTTTCAGAATAATAAAGTAGAATCGTCAAGCTTACCATTATTAAACAGAGGCCCAGGCACTTTCGCGTCGGCAGACATCTGTGCGAGAGGATCGAACTTGAATTTTCCCTTCGTACGTTCAGTCATATCTCCTTTTGACGGCGTAGAAAACGGATCGCGCGAGGCTGCGGTCTGCCTAGGCTCCCCAGCAGCCCAGTCAACTTTGATAATCTCGATGAGTGGGACAAACTCAAGGGGGTTATAAGGATAATCAGAGGTAAAGACGGTATTCTTGTTGCAGAAACCATGGAAATAGCCAGTAATATAGGCTTTTTTTCCATGCTTGCGAAATGGTGTTGTCTCGACGCGGTAATCCTCGCACTTCTTCTTCATATGTGCTTTGCATTTGGGAAGCATCGCGTAAACGTAGTTAGCATACCATCCAGTTTTAGGGGTATAAGCAGCCTCTGTAGAAGTAAATCTAGACCACACCCTGAAGACGGCTGACGAGTTCCTGGTTATTTCATCGAGACCAACGGAGGGATCATCGGCAAGGGGGAACTTTTGGGTATCGACAAACCCGTTGAAAGTTACGAACGGAGGAGTTATCGGGAAACGAGGAGATAAGTCGGCGCAGGTACGGTCAGAAATACTAAGAGGGAGCTTTAGGATAAGTATTCTAATGCCACGGATGAAGAAACTTACGGCGTGAGGGCATCGTCCTGGATCCATGCCAGACGTTTATATTCCACCTCGTCTTCGCCAGATAGACCACAGGGGACGTAACTGAAGTGGGGATCGCAGATAATAGTAAACCATTGGTCTTCCCAATCCTCGGTAGTTAACGAACCTCCCAAGTGGAAGCGAGAGAGATCTAGCGATAAGGCCCCGGCGTGTAAGTTGTCAAGTATATTAGGGAAGACATTAGTCAACCACTCTGGCGTATGAATCGGTATCTGGATTTAACCAGACCAGTTCTGGTACCGAAATATCTGGGAGTCCCTGCTTAGAGATTCAACGGCAACCATTTTACCTGTAGCAAGCATCGTGAGGGGGAGGCTCCATGGCGAAGGCAGGTTCAGCTCGGGCTTCGGCCAATAGGCAGCCAAGTCTGGCTTTCCAGTACCCATAGCGGCAGGAGGAGGCAAGGCGAAATGGTAAACAATCTGCAAGGAACCAGTATAAAACGTAGAAGGAGCTTTCGAGACGTAAGGAAGAGCAAGAGAAAGGCGAATCCAAACATTCGGGTTATACTCTTATAAAGGAATAAACCTTGTACATGAGGGGGCGGAGGAAGAATCCATCGGAAGGGAGATTTTTCAGCTTTGCTCCCTTATCAAGTTATTAATACAGGAGAACCAGGTCTCGTGGTCGCCTGAAGTTGTCTAGTTTATGCTGGCAAGACGTAGACTGCGTCTTTTTTCTACAAAGTGGGAACAACAGGGGGCTTATTACCCTTCTATTAGTAGATCACAAAGTATTGTTTCTTATTCGGATGGAACAGGAATGATTCCAGCTTTATTATAGTAATGCAGCAGCAAGACATCCGTCTTTGCAATACGAAGTTACTTGCATCTCGCCTTGGGCTAATACTATATGAGAAAAGATGTTCTTATTGAGGCAGTAATAACATTTGCAGCTAGGGCAGAAGGTGATTTCAGCGGATGGAGCGAACACGCATTACTATTGCTAAGCTTTAATATTCCCATAGTCAAAGGAATATAATAGCTTTTTTGATCTCCAAAGACCTTAGAAATCCTTGAATCGACTCTAAGTTTTATCATGCCGCATCTTACAACACCAGTTTCCTCATTCAATGACACTCCTATTTCAATTCAGCCTGAATTGAGGCCGAGACAAATAGCCGGCAGGGAAGAGCAGACTTCTCCTTCAAACCACAGTCGCATGCTAGCACCGGGACCACCGCCTTCAGTCAATATTATGGTAAGGTCCCTTCAAACTCAATAAAATCACTATCAGGGCCCCTTTTGACACAGAGTTACTAGAGATCCCTCGACGAAGGATTAAAGGTTCCTTCGAATCGGAACCGAAATCTGCTACCGACACCACCATCCTCGTTCGACAATATCCGAAGCCCGAATAGAATCGAATCTCCATTATCACCTAGATCAGTGTTAGTACAGACACCCTATAGCGAGGGGTTAAATACATCGCCTAGTAAAAATTCCCTTACGCCTAGGAAAAGCCGTGGAGGAAATAGGCAAGCCCATGCTAGTAGCAACCTTTGGGAGCAAAGTAATCGACCAACCCTACTTCCGTGGAACCCTAAGCCTATATCAAGTCTAAACACGCCCACTACCCTAGACATATCACAGCATAAGAGAGCTCAAGATAGCCAGCATATTCTTTCTGAAGCGCCAAGAACTCAAATACCGTCAGTTGCTATTCGCCAGTCTAATCCTATCCAGCAAAGGCATTTACCAATTCGTCCATCACTACCCAAGCTAAGCCAAAAAGCTAGCTATAACGTCGCACACCCACTTCTCGCACACCCCCACATTTCGCACACCCATAAATTGGGTCATCATGAGGTATTCATCAACTTCATAACTATAAGTCTGATTCGTCTCCTGCAACTGTGATACTATCGCCAGTTTTAATAGGTAATTCAGGCTCGCTAGATTCATCTGAGCTATCCTCAATTTCGCCAGCCTCAATTTGGGCTTTGTGAATTGCCTCAATGTTGGCAAACTTCGAATTTGGGCTCATTTGGACCTTACGCCGCTTCCGTACCATTCCAGCCTCAACTTCTGCTTCCAACATTGCAATCTTCTTCTCTGCTGTAGCCAATTGATAGTCCTTTTCATCAAATCCCTTTTGAACCTTCCGAAACAACAGTCGCTGCGTTTGCTGATCTTTATCCAACTTGCTGAATAAGCTAAGTTGATCATATAGATCAACTGTCTTCTTGGGCGTTGACCAGGCTACTATGGATGTAGCAGATGCCCAGTTTTCGTCTTTTCCACCATCAGAGGCCCTCATAGGCGTAGAATAGCCTGGCTTTGAGGGCTTGGAAGCATTCTCAAGCAGTAGAGGGCTCATGAGCGGTCGAGCTATCGAAATGGGCCATAGTCCTGTTGCTTTCCAGCCGCTTCTGATATTCTTGCTTGAAAATGCCATCTGGCGTGCTTTTCCATAGCAGGTAAGAAAGTTCCGTTTGCCTACAACTGTAGAATCGTTGTGTTGAATGAGGTATCCAAGCTCTTTTCGATAGGTCGCCTTGAGAGGCCCAAAGACTGCTTGGTCTAGAGGTTGGAGAACGTGGGATGTATGTGGCGGTAGGAAAAGGAGATATATCTTGTGTTTATAACAGAGATACATAAATTCTGTTGTTTCATGACTGCCATGACCGTCTAGGATCAATAGTCTCTGCTCAGAGGGATGATCAGGCTTAGTCAGAGGGATAAAGATGTTCTCAAGCCATTCCACAGCTGTAGAGTCTGAAGTCCAGCCATTCTCAGTTGCTGTGAACTTCCAACCACTGTAAATATCACGTTTATGGATATCAAGAGGAAACCATTGTTGTTGAACCGATTTCCCTCGATAAATAACAAGTGGAGGAAGCGCCTGACCAGTTGCAGAGACACACTCAAGCATAGTTGTCCAAGCCCGAGACCCAGGCTGTTTTTTTCGCATTGATGAGCTTTCTGATGATCCCAGTACTAAGCCATTTGATCCTCTGCCTTCTAGGATACCAGTTTCATCCATGTTATAGCGATGATGTGGTTTGATCGCCTTGATCTCTGGAAGGGCGAGTTGTTGAAACCATTGCCTGATTACATTAGTTGAGGCCCCATTGACACGCTTAGAATCGATGGCTCTAGCTCTATGAACCTTGATTGATGGATTTCTCTTAATAAAGAACTGAATCCAGTTTCTCCCAAGTGGCTGGGTAGTGCCTCTGATGTCTAGGATTCGCTGGGCAAATTCCTTGAGTTGTTGATGTGTTGGCGGCAGCCCTAACGCCGCCTGGATACGCACCCATTCAGCTAAGTGACTTTCCTGTGCTGGAGATAGCTTCTGGAAGCTAGAGAAAGCTACATTTCTTGCCTGTGAACCCTTTAATCGAGACTGGAGGGTTGATGGTGGAATTCCAGCATCATGAGCTGCCTTTCGGACACTCTGCCCACTTGCAACTGCATTGAGAGCTTGATTGACTTCTGTTTCCGTATACTGGCCCATTAAGCGTATAAGAGTAACTATTCAAAGAATTATAATAATCGCTGTAAAAGTGGTGAAGATATTAAAGAATGTTGAAGAGGGTAAAATTCTACATGAGCGATTTATGGGTGTGCGAAATGTGGGGGTGTGCGAGAAGTGGGTGTGCGACGTTAGCAAGTGCAGCTGTATAAGTCAAGTATGCTGATAGGGATCGAGCCTAGATACAGTCACTGTTGGATTTCTAGTTGAGTGCGAAGAGTGCGCGATTAAATACAATGTAACCAAACTAATATCACGCCTGTCTACCAACATCAATTCGTCCAAATAAGCGTCTCACTCACCCCACTACAAATGAGAGAATCACCATTCACCATTGGATGTATCCTAAACTGCAGAGACTAGAATCTGTAAAGCTAGTAAAGCATTTGACATCCCCGGATTGACACATGCAGCCCCTTTTCTTGTCAAGACTAACAACTTGGATCCCGCACCGCTACGAACCTTTGCTCCTCAGGTCGTGTGCAAGGGATTCTAATTCGGAATAGTGCAAGTCTGAAAACCTTTACCCCTACAGATACAGTGGCGCTGTTGATTAGGAACTTTGGTTGAGAGACGAGTACGCGTTAATAAGAGAAGCTGTTTGTGGAGCCTATGCTTTCTTTACCCACTCAATGCCTTCCTCGCCGCATTAAGTCTATCTGATTAGGACGATCAACGTAATGAGACCCTCGGTGCAAGAACATTTTCGGCTATACCCCCGCTATTTATCTGGGCATCCGCCGCTTTACTGGGCTATTTCGGCCCATTCCCCTCCTGACCCATGGTTGTCGTTGGTGATGCGGGTCCAACCGCAGCACCTTTACGCATAACGTAGCCGACATGGAGCCCTTTGAGCAATAGGATAGCTGCTTACTCGACGCTGATCGCTGGTCCGTCAATTGGGGCCCCACCGTGGCTCCGGATCCTTCCCCGGCCCCGTCTAGCCGACTTCCGTCTCCACCCGCGCCTCCGGCTCAAACGTCTGCCAACAAACAAAAAAGAACTTTTGCGTTGTCATACGTAATGCGGTTTATTCACATTTCCTGCCAAGTCGATCGGCACGCCAAGTCTGCAACAGCATGCATCACGGGCTTGCGACCAACGGTTCTCTCCTTCCTTAAAGGCCAACGACCAATCTGTAACGGCGCTGCAGGAACACTAGCAGGGTTATTAAATTTTCTCGCTCGGCAACACGAGCATGGCGTGAGCCACTGTCAATGGTTCTGCAGTTATGTCTATGCCGAGGGGGTTCATCTTCCCCCTGTCAATCTTATACATGAACAGACAGGTGCTGCGAGGCACAATGCGTCTGAGAATAGTTGACAACTGACGGCGTCCAAGTGCCGAACTGACAGCTCAGGGTAAACTTCTGACAGAAGGCACAGGTTTCCTCAGGATCGTCATTGTGCCTTAAGAACCCAGACGTGGGAGCCGAGTGAGAAATAATCGTTCCCTTGATGATCCACCTAGTGTTACCTGGTCCTTTTCGCCATCCCCCCGCATACGGGGTCCCTCTCCTTTTTGTGTAAGTTGTGTCATTAACCGTGCTTGGGTACGGGGCTGCGGATATACAAAGCTGCTGCTGCCAGGCACCACCGCGATGTCTGCCCGCCAAAGAGCCACACCCGCTCGATCTTGCTGCTAGTCAAGCCCATCACTGGCCACTCGTTCGTCATGGCTGAAAGCCAGAGTTCCACGGTCATCACCGTGGCCGTCGTCTTCGCCGTCCTCACCTTCGTCGTTATGGCCCTCCGTGTCTGGGCCCGCGCATTCCTCGTGCGGTCCTTCGGCCCCGACGACAGTACGCTCGCCCGCTTCCGCCGCCCTGTTGTCTCGCTGACATGCTCATCTTAGTCCTCATCCTCCTCGGCGCCCTATTGTCATGGGCTTTCATCGCCGTCACCATCCGCGCCGCAAATCTGGGATTGGGTTCGCACATTAGTCAGGTCATGGAACGCGGCACTGAGAACTTCGTCATGTACCTTCAGACGGTGTGGTTGTCGTCCATCTTCTACAACGCTTGTCTGGGCTTCGTCAAGGTCTCCGCTTTGGCGCTATACATGCGTCTTGGTGACAACACGCTGCGCAAACTGGCCGCTGCAATGCTCGTCGTTGTGGGATGCCAGGCCAGCGCGAACGTGCTCGTGTGCATCTTCCAGTGCAGTCCCGTGCAGGCCGCGTACGACATCACCATCCTTGCCGCCGACAAGCAATGCATTGACATCAATGCTTTCTACCTTGCCAACGCCGCCGTCAACATTCTCACCGATCTCCTCACCTACACGCTTCCCATCCCGCTGGTCATCAAGCTGCAGGTGCCCAAGCAGCAGAAGATTGGTTTGGGCGTGATCCTATGCCTCGGTCTCTTGTAGGTCTCACTTCTCCCCAGCTGACACGGCAATATCTAACTTAGCAACCACTTTTTAGTGCCTGTATCTCTTCTATAATCCGCATTACCTTCATTCCTGACATGCTCGTTAACGAGGACGCTACCTGGGCCATCACGCAGCCCATGTACTGGTCTGTCATCGAAACCAATATTGGCATTCTCGCGGCCTCCATCCCCAGCATGAAGGTCATCGCCAAGCGCTACGCCCCGCGTCTGCTGGGCACCTCATCTAACGGCCACGGCAGCGCCAGCGGTCGACAAAGCGGTTTCCGCATGATGAGCGGCAGCAACAACAAAACAAGCAACAAAGTCGACAAGACCGGAACCGCTTTGCGCAGCCTGTCCAAGGGCGGCTTCGACACCAAGATTGGCCGCGGCGACGCGGACAACAGCAGCGAAGAAGCCCTCAACTACCCACCATCAGGCAAGATCGGCGTGCACACCCACGTGAGCATGCAATACGACGAGGGAAGCGACGTGGGCGAGAACAAGCAGGCCTTTCAGGGGCGTGGCGGATTCTAATGGGGCAGTGTACTGGAACCCAGCGAGTGGCAGGGGAGGGAGTGGAGTTGTAATCCTAGTAAAGAGTTTCCTCATTAGATATATAATCAAGTGTACACTAGAGCAGTAGTACAAGTGGCGCGAAAGAATTATACAAGAGACACAAGTCCTCGAGCAGGTCTCGAAAATTCATACCTATAGACGTAAAGCTCCATGCACAGCCAAGTGAACCAAAATAGTGTATGATCTTGACGCTTAAATATGAATACTTCACCAAATTAAATGTTATGTTTGGCTCATAGTACTAGAATTTGAACTAAGCTTCTTATCTATTTATACAACGTGTGCCTAGCTCACACACGCGGTTGCTGTGGCCGACGTTCAATCGTCATCCACATGTCCTCAAAGTAGCTCACGCCACCCTTGACGAGGTAGCGCGCGGGTTGCTCCTTATTGCCCATCTCGGGCTTAAACTTGCGGAAGAACTGCAACGGTCCCTTGTACAACTCCATCCAAGCGATGTAGCGGCCCAGGCACTCGCGAGCACCGTAGCCAAAAGCCATGTTATACTTGAGCAACTCCTTGGTACGCTCCTCGCTCTCAAGCCAACGCTCCGGGCGGAACTCGTCCGCATCGGGCCCATAAATAGCCTCGTCGCGGTGTACCAGCCAGGGGTTACACGTGAGTTCAGTACCCTCAGGAACGAATTTGCCGTTTAGTTCGATGCCGCCCTGAGGAGCGAGGCGAGGGAAGATGTTAGGCGCTGACGGGTTGAGGCGCATCGCCTCACGGACGCACGCGACATAGTACGGGCAGTATTGCTGTACCTCCTCGTACGAAGGCACTGTCGACAAGTGGCCGGCACGGTCAGCGGCATTCAACTCAGCCATCATCTTAGCATAGACCTCCGGGTTCGACATGATATAAAGCATGATGGCCTGGAAGGCGGTACCGGTAGTATCGGCGCCGGCGAGCAGTACTAGGAGGATCTCTGCCTTGATGTAGTCGAGGTCCAGTGGCTCGCCCTTTTCGTCACGGGCCTCGATGAATCTGGGGAGAAGCCTTCGTCAGCGACTTGGTAATGAGGGGGGGGGGGGGGGGGGGGGGGAGTGGGGTTTCAGAGAATCGACTCACGTTTGCAGCAGGTCAATGCGGCCGTCAGTTGTTCCATTTTCAATATCCTTGTATCGCTGAGAGATAAGCCTGTCGCGGAAGCGCATGAGGGTGCCGATGCCTGAGTTTTGCTCGGGAGATGCGACCAGGTACTTCTCGCCGAACCACGTGCTCTTGACCCAGTTGGTGAAGGGGTACAGGCGGGCCATGATACCGAAGGGCACCAAGCCGTCGTGGAAACCTTGAATCAGGCCTTCGACGTCCTTGCCCTGCTCAATGAAGCCGAAGGGCTGGCCGAAGCCGACCTCGGAGATGATGTCGTAGGCCATGTAGACGGCCCAGGGAGCGAAATCCAAAGGGGCATTGCGGCTGGCGAAGCGCTCGTCCAGCTGGGCGATCCAGCGCTCAATGTTCACGTCAAAGAGGGGCTCCATCTTACGGATATTACTGAATGAGTAAGGCGCCGCGGCAATCTTGCGGAAGCGCGCGTGTGTGCGCGCATCCTGCATATTGAAGAGCGACTCAGTTTTACCGAAACTACCAGTGATATAATGCTTAGATTTATTCGCATTTCGGGAGTATACTTCAGGCAGCTTAGTAGCGTCACTGACAAGAAGCATAGTCGGCGTAATGCGGATAACAGGGCCTATGCTATAGTTAGCTTTAAAGTAAAGGCATACATTGATGCACAATGAGGGGCATCGCGAGAGGGCAGCACACCATATTTGCGGTGGAGTTCCCGGTTGACCTGGCACTCGTCCTCCTTGACGTTATGATAGGTGATCCATAGTCGAGTGACAGAGCCCCAGAACGGGCCAGGAAACTTGGCTAATGGGTGATAGAAGCGGTAGTAGACGATCTGGTAGAGAACCTTCCACGCGACATAGGCGACGGATAGCAACACAAGGTTGCCGACTGTGAGGACGGCCATGGTGGACGAATCGACGGTTGACGATTCGTAATGAGGACGGCCGCGAGTCACGGCGGAAGGCCATTAATATATTACACATGGCTAACAGAGATTCCACGGAGGGCGAGCTTCGAGCTAGTGGCAACGACGGAGACTCTTTGGGCCACAAGCTGCAAAGAGAAGGAGAACAGACAAGGAATCGAGCGGAGACAAGGCCGAGGCATCCTCACTTTGTCCAAAGCTCCTCGCCGGCCCGGGGCGGCAAAGGCGGTGGTTTCTGCGCATCCACGCATCGTTGCAGATATTCGGTCCCCACATGCTTTTTCTTCAACGAAAAGCGCAGGGGTGGTGCAGGATCGAGCAAGCGTTGCAGCCTGGGTTTTCATTGTGAACGACGCTTCTTGGCTTGCTAGACTTGACTTCTGTCAGTTCTCAGCCCAGGAAGTTCCCACCCGTTGTTGGCGCTAAGCCGGGGGCCGTTGTTAAAGCGGCAACACGAGAAGATGTGTGGGCCAAGCCTGGCACAGCAGCAAGGTTATTGTGACATCTGCAATCTCTCTGTGTGGGGTTTCTGCAGCTGTGTGGTTTGTCAGTTTCTCAACTCCTCGAGCACAAGCCTTACACACGTGGAAATGATTTACCGTAGCGAGACACCCTCGCATAACTTGGAAATCACAGCGTAGCTATCACGTTGTTTGCTTTTAATGGAGCGAGCATGAGCCCACTCACATCGTCGCGGATCTTTTCCATCGGCTCACTGCCGTTATTGCCTGTGCGAAGACCTTGACGGCTTGATTCCGAGAGAGGTGCGGATGACCATGCGGCGGGGGCTCCAGGGTTGGAGATGTTGGTTCATTCAGAGATAGTGGATGCAGATCTATAAAGGGGACGACAAGGCCCTCGTTTTAGGCCAAAGCTGGGTCAATAATGGCAAGGAGTGCGCAAGCGAGTTATCCACGTCGCTGAAAGTATGGCTGGATTCATTTCCCGGTCGGTTTGGTCCGAGAGGTTCTGGGGTTGCTTTGTCCAGTATCGAATGCGTTATCTGTCGCATCATGTTCACTAACTCGTTGCAAGCTATTTGAATCCAGATAATTATAGAATCTTGCGAAATAGTAATGAGTGATGATACCTCATTTAGTAAGGAAGGCTATCAATCTTAGCTAGACATAACGATTAACTGCTTATATTTGAGGAGCTTATTGCTCTATGAGTAGATTATATATGCCTTTCTTTTTATACGTGTAACACACCTGGTATCAGTACAAATAGGCGTGTGATCCGGACGCTGTCGAGATCATTGAACTGTGGTATTGAAGTTGATTCCTCATTGAAAATGATAAAAGCGTTAACACGTTCAAATGAAGAGATTTGAACTTTTTGTTGGTATCACATGATACCCGTAAAGTGGGATAACTGATGGGGGAAACTGTTTCTTATATTGTTTCTCTTGTCTATAGAATAAATTCCAGTAGAAGCGCTGGAGGAAGTGTCTGTTGCTCGTGTAGCCGTCAGTCGGTCTGCCCATCACGTGGGCAGCCCGGGTGCCGGCAGGACTGCCGGCGACGGAGCCACTTCAACTCGGAGTTCCGGCTATTCCAACACTTTCAGCTTCAATCATATCTAGCTTATTATTTAAAATAAACGGTTTTTTACATGGATTATCACAACTTACTTCTCATCCAAGTTGAATTGATGATTGTAGAATCCTCTTATGATAAGCTGGTTCGTCAGACAGAATAATACGATGTAACACTCGCGGGTTTTGCATTCCTCATATTTGAAACGCCCTTTGTAAGCTTTTTTTGGCAATATTGAAAGATGCATATCTCGTAACAGTCCCCCTTGTCGATTGTTTTAACAGTCAAGGAATTTGAGCATAGGCTTGTTATCTGGGTCCCCTTTGTTCCATTGTTCAAACAAAAAGTGCTGCTTGTCCACCGAACAACTGCATTGTCAGGAGACAAAATTTGTATCCAAGAAGTTGAGCCGTAATAGACTGTTCAAAATGATTGAAAACAATTATAAATTCAGGCTCAGTTGCCAACTTGAACTTTTGATTAAGTCCTACATTTGAACCAGGAGAACGAAGCAAGGCGCTTGGGCCTCCTTGTCTTTACTTATACATTTTTACTTGGAACTTTTGAGGCATGCTTTAAGGTACCTCTCAATTAGCCGCCTAGCGATAACTTGGGCCATAGCAAGTCTGCAGCACGCCGAAGGTTACTGGTCACTCGTCTCGTGCTATCTACCGACAACTTAGGTATTTCTCTCCATACCAAACTAGCCCCGGTCCGTTATTTTCACCAACCTATCATTCCCTTTGCCATAGAAGTTCCGTTTCCAATTGATTATTATACATAATCTTGGAGGAAATCCTGCCAACATCAACATGACGAGCCCCTCATCAGATGAATGCCTACAGCAGCTTCTGAGGCCCAGCTCAATAGAAGAGGTCGAGCAACTCGCCGACTCAAGTTTACCTCTAACAGAAGCCTTGAAGAAACACAGACATGTCATATTGAGGAAGCACATCAGCCCAGAGGCGTGGAGCGACGCCATAGCATGTGTCGATCGCCGTATTCACTCGAGTAAGAAAGCAAGAGCAGCTTTTGACGCAGATTACGAGAGCTGCAACGTGGCAAGTATCGAAAACCAAGAACATTGGGACCTAAGAGACCTCTGGGACCTTGTCAAGATCATCGACAAGCTAATACTTCACATAGGAGATGTTGGATCCGTCGACACACCTGGCATTGAGTACGTCAGCCTCCGTGCTTGGGAAGCGGCCTGGGAGCTCCGCTGCAACCCCGTGGATGCCAACAGAAGACATCCTCTAGGCGACTTGAGATGGCTGGAAGAAGACGGCGGCACAGAAAATCCAACCAACTTCCAAATCGCCTTTTCCCGACACACAAAGCTCACCCATAAAAACCTCTCGCACGAAGGCATCGCCATGGACGAAATCACACGCGCGAAACTCCAGCGCGCCTTCTTCCGTCTCGAGTTCATCCGCCGCGCGTACTACTCCCGACCCCTCTTCCCCAAAGGTGCCAAGTGGCAGAACCGAGATTCAACGTTCGTCAATGGTGAGCCCCAGAGCCTGGCGGGAGAGACCCCGGAAACCCGTCTCGCGCGGGCGGAGCAGATTTTCAAGGGCTGGACGAAGGACGACTTTGTGGAAATCATATGTGCTTTCAAGGCTACTCTCAACTTCTACGCCGTACCCGTGGGCGACATGATACAGGACTTCGTAGACGGGGCCTACGCCGCCCTAGACAACTGGGATCTGTGTCACGCCCTAGACTTTAATGCAGGAGAAGTCCACGAGATCCGAGCAAACGCGGATGCCGTCAGCTTGCAGTGGGAACTTGACCCGCTTAAGAAAGAACCCGACTTTCCCCTGTGGGGGATCAAGCCCGACAGAGAGTTCCTCGAGTTGGAGGGCCAGTTGCGGGACAACTTGCTACAGCTGGAGCTGTACAAACTGCGGAGATTCGTCCAGTTCTCCCACGGTGAGTTCGACGACCTGGGCTGCACCATCTTCAAAGCAGAAGAGGTCCGGCGCGCCAACTACCCAAAGAAGATGAGCAAACACCAGAAACCGCTTCTTCATGAAACACACCCGGAGCGGGAGATGTCCAAGTTCTTCCACGCGCTGTGCAGCCTGCCGCTGAAATTCCTCGATAGGTTCATCGACATGTCGACCAAGCGGAAACGCCGCTTTCTCAAGACGACGTACTTCGCCGTCTCCCGAATCAAGGCGTCCCACGCACCAATGTTCTTGTCGGGGGAGGTCCGCGCCTGGTCCAGCAAGCCCGCCGACGAGCGCGGGCCGCGGCACTGGGAACATCAGACTGAGCGCCGTGTGTTTCCGGAGCTCGCGGTGCGATACGTAGCTCTGGGTTGCCTGTCCAAGCTGTATACAATTGACCACGATTCTTACTTCGGGTGGAGGCTCCGGATGAACAGACTGAACCGGTATGTCTGGCGGTGGGATGAGCAGGTCCTCACGCCGCTTGCGTGGTCGGAGCTCCGTTCCAAGATTGCGTACAAACCGTTCAACATCAACACCGTCTTTCGGATGAGCGAACGAAGCTGGCAGGGCCTTTGGCGGTCGGATCGGCGGTGCGAGCGGCTGACCTGGGTCGGACGCAGCATGAACAGGTTCTGTTGGGAGGGATACGGACATCCCGGCCGGTTGGATCCGAACGAGTGCTATTGCCATGTCGGCGAGGGCTGCGGCCTCTGTACGCATTTACCTCCGAGCAAGATTCCTGAATGGGAGCTTTTCACTGAAGACGATTGGAAAGAGGAATTCGAGACTGAGAAGCAGCTGCTGGGTCTGGCGGACCCGTGGGCTTCCGAGCCGAACGAACTGGATAACTATTCGTTCGAGTCGAATTTATCATAAGGTTATCTCGGGGCAAAGGTGAGTCGGGGTTTTTTTTTTTTTTTTTTCTCATTGAGGCTGTCAGTTCATATTTGTAGTATTAAGTGACTTGACAGAGGAGCTAGATTGCTCAGAAATTGGTTCAAGTATGTTTCTTTGAATAAAATGCCTAAAGCTGGCTTAAAAGATTTCTCTATCGTCGTACGCCCTGACGCTCTCCAAGTAGTTCTTGACCTGATTATAATCCTTGCACACTGAAGGGGCATGTTAGCACTGACACAATATTTATGGAGTTGATGGAGGACTTACCATGCTTCGAGTCCCAACCGTCGGAACCACCATTGTGGTCGGGGAAAGTCGTCTCGAGACCCTCCAACGCCATATCGGCGCTGCACATGATGGTCTGTCTCAGGTATGAGAAGCAGTGAATCATGTGCCAGTGGTGGTCGTCAGGGATCTCATGGCCGGAAGTGAGTCCAGAGTAGGTCTGCACGACGGCGAACTAAGAGGCACTTTAGTTAGATGAAGCCTCGAATGAAGTTTTCTGAAATTCTTACCAAGCAGTGAAGCTGGTGAGTGATGGAGGTCGTAAAGACAGTCTTCTCGGGCCAGACGATGGGAGTAGGCAGGTCGTGGTACTTGTGGGTATCATTGACCCATTGGAAACCCATGCCGTCTAAGACAAAGTCAGCACTCGAGCCACAACTCTCTCAAAAAGTCACACTTACAGGGCATAAGCTCGTTCCAGTTGTTCAAAACCTCGTCGGTGAAGAACTTTGACGTGTCGTTCGGGGCATACTTGCCCTCGTAATCCGGTGCAAAAGTCTTGATCTGCTGAGAGACTGTTCGACAACACGTCAGCCACTTTTCATCCCTCGCTGCAGTCAACTCCAACTCACATTTGCCACTGACGCCCGTCAAATCGCCTCCAAAGTCCAGGGTATTCGTCGGCGGCTTGTCCATGCGGTCCTTCACCAACAACCCCAAGATAATGAGCAGCAATATCGTGTCGACAAACCACCGCGAAGCTTTGAGCATGCTCAGACAGCTGTTCCTCCTCCTCGCCGCCGGTCTCTGGAAGTCCCTCACGTAACCCTTGTCATGCTCCCCGCTGCCGATAAGCGACTCCTCGACCTCGGTGCTGCTCCGATCATCGCGGTCGTGGTCCTCGAGGTGGAGGTTCTCGTACTTTGCCTCTGACATGTCCATGCTGGGCTGATTCAAGTCGGATCTACCGCTTTTAGAGAAGAATGAAAGAAATGAAATAGTTTGAATGCTATTATCCAAGGTATTAACAAGAAAAAAGAGGGTCACGATGCCAGACCGACTGAACAATGAACGATGACCAAGCAATGCGCCAGCGCCAAGGAGAAGAAGAGAAGAAGAGAAGGAGGGAAAAAGAGAAGGACTCCAAACAAGTAGCAACTTGGCCTCGTCCTTCTTTTGTTCAATGCATCTACCCGTTCAAACTTGCCCTCATCCAGTCTCGTTAGCCACACCCAGTTTTGTCGTATCCATCCCGTCTCGGACCAAAGTCTGAGGCTGAAGTTTCAGGACAGGGATCATCACGCATCCCCGGGCCGCTGGACTTTTTTTTACTACTAGAGAGGTTTTTGTTAAGGTCGCTAGTCGCCTACCCTTGGGGGGAGAAGGGGAATAGTTAGCGACCTAAAGGGGGGGAACCAACACTTGTTTCATCGAACCCCCAAAAAGCCCCAAGCGGGCCCCGCTCAACGGTCGCCAGCCATGTTGCAGCACCTTGTCCACTGTTTCTAGTTGCGTTTTCGATCCGTCCGAAGGAGGTCTTCTGAAGCGCGCCATTTGTCGATCCTTCGTCTGTAGTTGCCGCCTTATCCCCCCCCAACTCCCTTTGTTTTTTTACTCTTTCATCAGCTGAGAAGTGACACTACAATCCTGGGATGAAATCTTCCTACATATTCAAAAGCTTGCCGTGTCTTTTAATCCAATGACGATGGCAGCTTTCAAATATGCTTGAGAAAACAAAGTGGAAAATACGTTTCTTTTTCATACAACACTGCATCCATCTATCTAGGTACATTAAGCTTCCCGCTTCCGATACCTTAAACCTGCATAAACCTATCTTTAACGTCGTCTGGGTATCGTGAACAAGGCAGCTTTAGTTGAAATAAGTACTCTTGGCCGGTTACATGTTAACACAAGTAAATCACTATTCGAAAGAGACTTACAGTAAGCAAAGATGCATTGGACTAAGTTAAGCTGGTTGTTGTTTTACGTTCCAGACCCAATGAGAGAGTGAGATGATGTGCCGCGCCAACGATCTGTTAGTGCCAAGGTGCACATCACCCCGATATGCGCAAGTTGAAGCGACAGCCCTGCAGACTCAAGTCTTGGTCCCAAAAAGCCTGGGGAAGTAACAAGCATCTGTGCCAAGGCGGATCGCATATCAAAGAAAGCAGTGTCAAAGGAAACCAGTGAATAGGCATATAAACGATGCCGACAAAGGTATGCAGGTGACTGCTTACTAGAAGCACATCGATGGAGCCGACAGAAAGAACCTCTACAGCTTAGAGCAAGAGTCAAGGATGATGATTCATATAATGCATCTCTTGTCCTCTACGACAATCGAGACACGACTTTCTTCACCGATAATCATGTCAGAGCCTTCCAGCATAAACCTCATGATGAAGCTATTGAACAGCATCTTCAACACCAGCGCCTGTGAGAACACTTTTAAACACAAGCCCAACTCAACGTTGACACAAGAACTGCCGACTCTCCATCTCATCATGAATACTTCCTCAACTCCAATCCCATCTCCTACAAACTAAACTACGTACATCATGAACAAAGCAACCCTCTTTACAGCTCTACCCCCAGAGCTCCAACATAAAGTCCTCCAACATCTCGAATCCTACCACAGACTAACTTTTATTCAGTCCTCCCGGAACATAGAACACGCCGTCTCCCGCAACATCAACTGGCTAATAAGCCTCCTCATCCCTTCTTCTGCCAGAAATGTCGCTTTAGCAACCATCCACGCCCCCAGACGCGGCCGGCGCGAACACATCCGCCAGTTCCGCACCCGCGTCAAAGTGTTCATGGCAGAATACGAAGCAGGCGTCTACCGAGACAGGCTCCCGAATCCGTACCTCACCAGCGCCGGCTACCAAAGACGGTTCGCCCACCCGCGAGAGCTGAGCCGTTTTCGCGATCTTCTCAATCTACTCAGAGCCATCGACGTGCTCATACGAGACCACATCAGCAAAGTGAGTAGGGAGAGGCAGAAAAGCAAAGACCAAGACGACGATCTATGTGCCTCCGCTCTGTGCGGTCAATCGCGGGACGCCGGAATGCACGCGGACCTCGGTGTCGGTGTATTCCTGGCACGGGACAAATACACCACTCGCAACGAGAAATACCAAACACGCGTCCACGAAACATTCTTCCGCCTCGAGCTTTTTCGCAGGCTCTTCTACCGAGACCCCCTTCAACCCCTCTTCTCCAGCGGCGACGCCACTCCCGTCCAAGGCCCAAACCAGGTGTATTCTTTAAGCTTCCGAGACGCCCGGATCCACGGATTCACGACTCGGTGGGATAACCACCGTCGGGCACGTATCTGGAATGCCGAGGGCATCCGGCTCTGGAAAGTATGGGAGGGCCACTGGAGCCAGCGGCATCAAGTGGCTGACAACGACACGATTGCGTTCAAGAGAAAGGGCGAGGAGATCGTGCGCCGGATTCGAGAGATCCGATCAGAAGGTGCACTGCATCTTGCGCGCTTTTGAGGTCCTCTGGACGCAATACGCCCTTTGGGTCAACGACGAGCTTGAGCAGTTCAAGGGAGAGGTGATTTCCGAAGCCGAAAAGCTGGCGGAGGACGAACTGCGTGACACGAACCGCTTCAGGGCAACAATAGAACGCGAAGAGCCGCTTCGCTGCCGTCACTTCCCGTATATACCAACGATGCTTCCGCCGCTGGCGTCAGCGATGAGGTATGAGACGCTCCATCGGCAGGAAGAGGAACGCAAGGGACAGGCTACCCGAGATACCTTGAAGCTCGCGACGGACTTTGGGTTCGGAGGGTACAACATGGCCCTGATGTTCCCTGAAAAAGGACGCCTCGGTAACCTGGATGACAAAGATACCGTCTGGCCCGCGATGTTCCGCTTCCTGACCTTCCTCGCTTCTCTCGGCCTCCCTTTCTTCAACCGCTGCGTGTCGATGGATGAGAAGCAGCGCAGAAGGACACTAGGAAGCATATTTTTATACCTCGGCCGCATCCCCGCGTCGCGGATTCCACACTTCGTCCTCGGCGATCTTAATCCTTGCAACCGGTACGAGGGACGCGAGTTCCCTCTCCTGGATGTGAAACGGGAACGCTACCTTCATCCGACCTTCGTGACTGAGCTAGGCCCTTTCGATAATATCGTGCGCCTGTCAAGCCATCTGTCATACAAACTGCGGTTGCCCAGCGGAGACTGTATTTCCATAATGCTTGTACGCAAATCTGCCTAGAAGGCGATTCTGGGGAAGCACGCCACAGACGTGGTGACAGATCCGTCCGAATTACCGTTCAAAGTGGGTGATGCGCAATGGAAGCAAATGACGAAGCTGCGGTTTGAGACCAATTTGACCATGAAGCTCGGTGTTGCGTGTACGCCGGAGGAATACCGGGAGTTTCATGAGTGGGCGGCACTTGAGGGATTCAGACAGACGTGTCTCCGAGATGATAGGCTGAGGAAACAGCTGCGTCAAACGCAGACGATTATGGATCTCGTAGGGGAGGTGGGCAGGTCTGGTTCTACTTGAGGTGAAAAGTCATCAACATTTGCCGGTTTGGATAGAACACTATCACTGTGCCCTTCCTCACAAGGCACTCAATATCCGGACAAACGTTAACGGTAGATGGAGCAAGTATTAGAAAGATATAGCAGTACCACGTGGTCTGCACTTTTATATTATGTATGCAAATAGGACCAAGCCCATTTCCAACATGTATATACGGTCATACTATCGTGAGGTCGTGAAAATGGCCCCTTCCGTCAACTCTAGCCGATCCGAAACTCCAAAAATAACGAAATGCAGAAAGTGGGTATCAAGTGGTTTTGGCCGGGTTGTATCCTCTAAACATGTCGCAAGGAAGGTAGTTGTTTTCGATGAACGGCGTAGCGGCCTGGAAGCCGACGGCATCGGGAAAATTGGTGTCGGCGCGGAATGGACCCAGGTTGGATTTGACAGTTCCGCGCACGGGGACCGGCTCAAAAGCGCCCTGGGTCAAAGAAGTGTTGAAGAGCCGGATCTGTTGATCGCAGGTTGAGCCGTTGGCGAAGATGGGCTGATTGACAATGGTATCAAACATGGCCAAGGTGTACGGAATCGGCTGGTCTGCGGGCGCCCGCTGCATCTCCAGAGCCATGGACTTGCCGCCGGCCGAACCGTTGAAGTACGTGCCCCCTTGAGGAAGCACCCCAAAGGCGTTGCATTCGGGATCAAAAGTGGCCGCGTGAACCTCGGTGCCGTATGCCTGAGAACCGCTGACAGCCATTGGGTTGGAGGCTGAAATGAGTTGCTCGGGAGCCCAACGGAAACTTGATGTGCCGTCACCCAAGAGATCCACGAAGGGGAATTCAAAGCCAGCTCTCTGCACAATAATAAATTAGCTAACGTATCCAAGTAGTGTCACAACTTATGAAGATCTTACGCTGAAGTCGGGAATACCGATGTCTTGAAACCGAATATCGTGGTCATGCCCGGCCTGGACCACAACAGGGTACATGCCGGCGGGGAAATCGGGCATCACAGCTCGAAGTGCGTTTTCCAGAATACCAAAAGGAACCATTGATCGTGCTGCTGACATTGGGATTGGGATAATAGCCATGGTAACGTTCAGAACACCAGTTGCGTTGTTTGGGTGCTGGCTCGAGAGCGGGTTCGGCTGGTCTTGATTCACACATGCCGGCGGTGTTGCTTGAGCCACGGTTGTCTGTATGTTGACACCAAAGATGACCAGCAGGACGGCGACGAAGCCCTGCACAAGGTAGATGGAGAGCGGCATGTTGAACCAGGAGGACAGCCTTTCGGGTGCGTGAACAGAGACTTTCTTGAGATCTGGACGTGGCCAGGGAGAAGGGAGCAGAGTAACCATGTTTAAGAGCTCTGAGAGGAGAGCTTCAAGAAAGAGATAAACAGCGAAACATCCATTTACGAAAGGCTCGAATCCCAGATGTCGATCCGGGAGTTTGGGCTCGCGAGGTTACGGGTTGGGCTTTTCAAGTCGGGAGCCGTGGCGATCAAGTATGGAGAATGGAGCTTAAAAGTCCCGAGAGCACACCGGGTGTTTTTGTGGCGGGGTTGGTGTGACGAAGATCCGTCCAGGAGCCGACAAGAGGAAACAAGGGCGTCCCGTGATGTCGAGGTTGTCTGGAGGGGGCAGCAGACGGGATAAGAACGGATGCGGCTGCCATGAAGGGGCGGGAAGTGGGTGGCAGGCACGCAACGGACAGAGCCTGGGACGACGGACGATCTCCGCACGGATGGGATGAGTTCATAGTTTGTGGTTGAAGAAACTCAAAAGGCAGAATTTTGGTGTCCCCGCAATAGCAGTAGATGGCGATGCCGACCGATCTCGAAGGGATGGCCATGGCTCGGAAACGAACAACCGACTTTAGTTTTCAGGAAGAGGAGACGAGGTGGAGTGGAGGGGTTGACACGCCTGACAAGGGTCACAGACTCTAGCATTCGAGCTTGACTGCGGCCACAAACTCGGATGGTTTGTGTTCCGGGCAGCTGGGAGGACCAGCGTGATCAGCCACGGACACGGAAGGCGAAGAAACCGGCCGAGCGAGGAATGGAAGTAGTCCGTCTGGTCGTACATCACTCGATTGGGACAAGATAGCCACGCGAAAAAATTTAATGGGATATCGTTGGCTTGCAAGCAGGAGAAAAAAAGAGTTGGCATGTCCCAAACGATCGGTTAGTGGCTTCGATAGCATTGATTTTCCTCGAGCTAGCCAGTGTTATGCTGGTATCGTCATAGCGACACATTGAAAGAGCCGTTCATCTGTGCAAATAGGGTGGGCGGTGTGGAGTGGGTTGAAGACTGGATCGATAGTTGTTAGTCTTGGATTCCCTTGGTTTGGATATTGGGATAGACACCGAAAAATGACTCAATAAGAGACAGGAAGACATCTGTCCGTCGTCAGAAAGGCCTGCGAATTGTCTGGAAGGTTGATGGAGGTAGGTCGGAGGTTTCAAGTACCGATGATTGCGCAGAAACCGCCGGCGGGCTCATTGGCCAACATTTCAGGCAGGTAAAGATTGGGGGGGGGGGGGGGGGGCACATCTGGACTGGGGGCGGAGATGTGACCGGTACGTACCGATCTCCGGTGCAGTTTGGGTAGCAGCAATCTGGACCTGAATCTCGGGGAAAGTCCACTGCACTGGTACTGGCCTGACTAGGTACAGTGTAAGGAAACTTTTAGGCAGCTGCAGGTGGAGTGGGGGTTCTTTCCAGCAGCAACGCTAGAACTGAACGGTGTCATCAGGCTCCGGCTATGGGGGGAAGGGAGTGGGTAGATTTTGCCGAGCATTTTACAGCTTGACAGGGTCCCGAGCCTCGAAAAATAGACATTTCGCTTCAAAGGCCAAGAATCATCATGGACCGCTGTTGCCATGTATGGACTGCTTGGCTGCCACAGCAGTTGTAGCCGGGTGTGCAAGAGCACGAGCACAGCGCTGGAGTAGTAACACGTGAAGTACCTGCCAATCTTGAGATATTGAAATGTTGAGTTGTGAGTAAAAATGATTGTTGGGCTGCAGCGCTAACAATTTCTTTGCATCTCAATGCACATCATATCCAGCCACAGACACCAACATCAAGATCAACATCAAAACCAAGATCAAAGATCAAGATCTGCCTGCCTGCATCATTCATAGCTGTTTCCATGGGACTCAATTCTTCTTCAATAAACTCAACCTTTAGGGCTCCACCTGGACGATCCCTCAGCCCTTGCATCTGCAGTCAGATATGCTGTAAGACGCACTATTGCCAGTCTTCATAGCGGGACCTTGGGGGCCCTTTTGGGGACCACCTGGTGCGGACACTACCGCCCGGAACTGAGCTTCCCGGCATGGGCTCATCTCATTTCATCTCATCTCACTCATAAATCAATACCGCGTCAGCCCTTTTGTGCTGCTTTCTAGCGGTGTGTGAGCTCCCAAAAAAACTCAACACGCCCGCCCGGTCGGTCCGCCCCTTTTCCATCGGCTGCGCTTGCGACAAGCTCACCACACGACTCGAACTTGGCGCGACACTCAAACAAACTTACACAACATCCCCACATCCCTTTCCGATCATCTCTCAGTCAAGTCATAGTCAAGTCAGAGTCAGGTCAAAACATCTGATCCTACTTGACCACCCCCTCGCCCCGTTCCAGCCACTACCCCTCGGGTCTCTATTCACCCGAAGATCATCCCCCTTCCGTTCGCCGCAATGGCCGCCACCGTTGCCGATCAGACCCCGGCTGCTGCCGGTTTGCAGGAGAAGGCCGCCGCGCCCTCAGGCCCGCGCAAGACACCCATCGACTCGCCTACCCCGGAATCATCCACCCCGGCTCTCCCGGCCTTGACCTCGGAACAGCAGGAGAAGTACGACGGTCTCTTGTCTCAAGTCCGCTCCTGGACCGAGGTGAAATGTTCCGCTGCCGACAAGTCCGGACCCCTGACCGACAGCGAGCGCCAGTGGCTGACACGCGAGTGTCTGCTTCGCTACCTGCGTGCCACGAAATGGGTCCCCAAGGACGCCGAGAAGCGTCTCTTGGAAACTCTTGTCTGGCGTCGCGAGTACGGCGTTGAGGGTCTGACCCCCGAGCACATCTCGCCTGAGAACGAGACCGGTAAGCAAATCATCGTCGGCTTCGACAAGGAGCGCCGGCCTTGCCTTTACCTCAACCCGGGCCGCCAGAACACGGAGCCATCACCGCGCCAGGTCCAGCACCTTGTATTTATGGTCGAGCGCGTTATTGAGCTCATGCCCGCGCAACAGGAGAAGTTGGCCCTGCTTATCAACTTCAAGAGTTCCAAGAGCCGCTCCAATACCGCCCCCGGTATCGGCCAGGCACGTGAGGTGCTAAACATCCTGCAGACGCATTACCCGGAACGTCTGGGCAAAGCTCTCATTATCAACGGTTAGTTTTTTGCTTTTCTTTTTTCTTTGTCTTTTTCTTTTCCTTTGGGCCATTACTCTATACTTACATAAGAACAGTTCCTTGGGTCGTCAATGGCTTCTTCCGTCTCATCACACCCTTCATTGACCCCATGACGCGTGACAAGCTCAAGTTCAACGAGGACATGCGACAGTACGTCCCCGAGGAGCAGCTGTGGACCGAGTTCAGCGACGGCAAGCTCGAGTTTGATTACGACCATTCTACCTACTGGCCCGCTCTCAATAGCATGTGCAAGGAGAAGCGCGAAGCCCGTACGGCCCGCTGGGTTGCGGGCGGTAAGCTGATTGGTGAATCTGAGGACTACCTTGGCGGTGCCGTTGAGAAGGGCGTTGGCGCATAGATTGCCGAGCGCCTTCTGGCTACTTGAACTATCTTAGCCTCTTGAACAGTGAACCTGAATATGTTTATGTTGGATTATTTGAGTATATAGACAAAGCAATAGGCGCTCAGAGTAATAGGTAGAGGGCGGTGAAAAGAGCAGAGTAGAACATAGCTACATTGGGAATGGGGACTAGACGGACATGATTGCTTCATATATATAACCTTGGTGGCTCCAATTTATGCCAAAATATTTGATCCCTACCGTCATTTTCAAATATCAACCATTTTCTCCAATTTTGATGCTTTGTGTCCTTCAAATTGAAGCTTCATCGTCCAAAAGAAGGTGGGTTAAAGCTCTTATCGTTATCGCCGATAAGGCTGTCTCCAACCCCCAACTCTCCCAAACAGCGCCACGACAGCTGCCCCAAATCCTGCAGCCTTTCCAACGTCACCTCGCGCGAGCGCCCAAAGGTCTTCCCCAATTCGGACAGCTAGCCACCTCCCTGCCCGACAACAAGCAGATGCGACATCCCACAACCCGATAAACCTCACCAACCTGCGCATACACCGAGCACACGGAATCATGGCGAACCTACCAACAACAAAGAGCATCCCGGACAAGGAGACTCCCGGGTTGCGCTACCCCTCCAATGGAAAGACAATCTACCACCGTCCCCTCAACCGCACCAAGACGGCCGAGCTCAGCCAGTCCAGCTTCGCATACCTCTTTAGCGAGATGGTCTCGTATGCCCAGCGCAATGTGAAAGGAATCGCCGAGTTGGAGCAACGGTACGTGTTCCATTACCTCCTAGCCCATGGAGGAACAATACATCCTTTCTAGACCACTCCTAAGACTGACTCTTGGTCGCAACCAGCTTAAACGTCCAGGGCCACTCGATAGGCCTCAAACTCCTTGATCTCCTCCTCTTCCGCGAGCCGCCCCGCACTCAGGTGCGCCCGCTAACCATCATCGCCCTTCTGCACTTCATCAAACAATCCTGCTGGCAACACCTCTTTGGCCGGCAGGCCGACCGTCTTGAAAAGTCCGCCGACCCGGCCAAGCCCGACGAGTATATGATTATAGACAACGAGCCGCTCGTCAACGCATTCATCAGCGTGCCCCGCGAGATGTCGCAGCTCAACTGTGCCGCCTTCGTCGCCGGCATCGTCGAGGGCATCTGCGATGGCGCAGGGTTCCCCGCGAGGGTGAGCGCGCACAACATCGCCAGCAAGGACGACAACGAGATGTGGCCCGGCAAGACTGTCTTTCTCGTTAAGTTCCGGTCGGAGGTGCTGGAGAGGGAGGGATACCTGGGCAAGAACTAGCGGGTGGAGGGGTTGAATTGCTGCTGCTGCTGAACGATTATTGATTGATGGCGTTCCTAGGGCATGGGAGGCGTTTTGGGCGTGGGATTTTCCAAAAGAATGTCATTTGGGCATGGTTTGTCTGCCGTTTGAATGGACGTCTATATCACGCTGGGGACTGTTGATGCTTGAACGGTCGCGAAGAAGCGTGCTCTTCGTTGGTGAAATAAAACTACTCATCCCCACGATACCACCACACCTTCCAAACATCCCACTCCTCGTAGCAATATTCCACCGTGCGCGCATAGAGCGTCCAAAGTCATTGGAGCTCCAACGCAGAATCAAACCCGGGTATACCATAACGCCAGAAAAAAAGAACATCCCGCATCATGCATCACATAAAACACACATCCTACCGCGGCATACGGCTCCCGCCCGCAGCGCCCTTGGCCTTCCCGCCGCCAGGCCCGCGGTTCATGAGCCCCGACAGCCCCAGATCCTTCCACGCCGCCTCGCGCTGGCGCTGCGTCGCCTTGGTGATGCCGAACGCCGCGTGCTGGTCCGGCACGACGTCGTCCTCGTCTTCCGGGTTAATCGGCTGGTGCTGCGGCGGCACGTACACCTCGTCGTCGGGGAGCTTGTCCTTGCAAAAGTCCTCAAAGAGGTCGGCGTCGCGCGCGCGGTGCATGTGCACGTATGTGTGGCTTGCGTCCTTGTTCTGCGGTCGTCAGTATGGGGGGCGATGGTGTTTGGGAAGATGTCAGCGGAACGGACCATTGTGTGGCGGTTCAGTATTTGTGAGTTTTTGTCGGTGTAGTAGGTTTGGTAGGTGTGTTTGCGGGTTGAGGAGCAGTTTGGTGGTGTGTATTTGTGATTGGATATGTTGGTGTTGGTGTTGGTGTTGGTGTTGGTGTTGATGTTGGATCTTGATTGTGGTCGCTACCCCACTGTTCGGTAGATCCCGAGCAGGGTCGCCTGGCGCCGCGTTTCACTGGGCCGATAATTCCTCACCTTGTCTTGACCTCGAATATGTCGTCTATCGTGATAGACGACAGCCTCGACATCATCGTTTGTGAAGAATGGTTATCTGACCTAATTAATTCGACTTCTTCTGAGTGTATCTTGATGAATTGAACTTTATTGATACTGGTTCATGTGAATCCAAGCTACACCATGCAAACCGGCAGGTTCTGTAAACGGCCGGACTGGTCAAGGTACTCTGCAGACTGCCAGTCGGTTCATACAGGATAAAAAGTCTTGATTCCTGTACTCATTAGATTCTTGTCGTGCTACCAGATTGAGAGGGACTGAAATGGGGTTTGAGAGCAACAGGATTAATAAGTGGCGAGTAAAGGTTCAAGTCACAGCGTACTCCACATCCAGCAGGAAAACGACTGTAGTCAGGTCTCTCACCGACCAATCTCGTTTTAATATATATACTTTGAAGGATATAGAAAACGGCAGCTTTAGGATAATGTGCTCCTCTTCTCGAACCAGAACCCACTCTCGCCAGCCAGTCACCCTTCAACCACCCATCGACGGTCACCCTGCCCGTGAGACCTATTCATCAGCCCGCTTGACAATGACCAACACCGAACTATCCTCATTCCCCCAATGACCCCCCTTTCCGTTAACGGCACACGTCGTCTGGCAGGGATTCATCATTCGCGCCTCCGCGAGCGACCAGTCCACCTCAGCGGAGATGCCCGGCGCGCAGACGAGAGCCTCGCATGTGCTACGCTTCATCGTGAAGCAGGATCCGCCCGGTATTTGTATCGACTTCTCGTTCTTTACAGCCGAGCTCCACTCGCTGAAGAGGGGCGGGCAGTCGAGAGGGTCCGGTCCGGGTTCCTGCAGGCGTATCAGTCAGTTTTGATTATGTCTAGCTGTCTCGCCTTTTGGCGCTTCATATTTGTCTAGTATAACGGTATCCCAACGGTCTACGGTCTATATGCGCTGTTGGGATGATAGAGGCTCGAAATGACCAAGTGAGGTAGCTTACATTGATACATCCCCAGTTCGTCCCAATGTTGGGGATCATCATCGAGCTTGTAGACTTCCCCTCCTCGGTATGCGAATATTGGGCTTTCTCGACATCATCGAAGGGGATCATGTCAAAGACAATATTGCTGCTTGCGTCTTCAAACGGCAGAACATGAGGCTTCATGGGATTGGCAGTGCTGAAAGCCACGAGGGAAAGTACGACGAAAGTAATGGCTATCATGTTGATTATCTGAATTTGTTCGTCTTCTTGACTGGGTGAGGATGCAGGAGGTAATCGGTATTGGTTTACAATTGGGAGAGCAGGAATGTAAAATAATAAGAGATATATGCAGTAGGAGACCACAGATGAGCCCTGGCAAGGGTTTAAACCATAGACATTTGGTTACGGCCTAGGGAGCCAGAGAACAAGACATATGCTGATGTCCATGCAGGGGGAAGGCGCGGTCTTTCTCATCTTGGAAGGCAGTATTGACAGGTACCGAAGCTTTCAAGGCAATTGCAATAGGGACTTCCATTGTAGCTTCTAAAGCTGGTACCTCCCTTAGTTCCATTCATCAAGTCGTCAAGATGACAGTTTGACAAGCACAGCGGGCAAACTCAAGTCCCAGTGACATCAAACTAGCCACGCTTTGTGCCGCCTGCGGCTGACCATGTGTTACGATGAGAAAGTCATTGGGTCGATGCGGCCTGGTAGTGAATCACATCGGTTCAGCGCGTCATCATCGGAACCAACACAGAGATCTCAATTATAGGCTGCGGAGGCTTCACTCTTGGGTATGAGGGAAGATGGGTTGCAGTGCCACAGTATAATCTCCTGACCATCCTGAAGGTGGTTGTGGTGAGCGTGGGCAGATTACTTGTTGATCATCAGTATTAATATACCCAACAGCTCATATGTCTCGGATGCCAGCAGAGGGTTGGGGTTGCGCAGAGTTGACGATGATGGTCTTCTTGGCCGCCTGAGCGATGTTGTCTCGTGGCATAGGGGCGACCCGAGGTGAACCGCTGTCGAAGAGAATCACCACACCGAGTCCTCTGGCGGAAATCATACACCATAGCTACAGAGGAGAATCACTTGATACAGGTTTAAGGGCCGTTAGACCAGCTCTAGAAGACCGTTGACTTGCTAACTCAGGGAGCAGAGGATGAAACGTGTCACATTCTAGGAATACAGGAAACATCTGCTCTCATCTGCTGGCAACGCTTGCTACCAGTCATAGAAAATCGCAATTGGTCTATGAGAACGAATGAATTGCAAGGTCTACACTTATACGGAGCTACACAAGTGCTAACCAGGCTGTTGTAAGTTATGGCCACTCTAGTGTCTTCGAGAATGCTGTTCTAAGACTTTGAAAGTTGAATTGTCGATGCTCAGTCGAGCTGATAAGAACCAATTTCAGGGCTTCCCACATCTATTCTCAGGTTTCGTTCTTAGAACCACCAAGACTCCTAGCTACGTTCATCTACGGTGGCAATTCTTCCATATGCCAAACACGGTTTGCCTCCAATTTGAACCATGTAAGACGCTACGCCAGGCCCTCCGCAACGTACAACGTTAGCTGTACAAAGACAGCCGATCAGTCCTCACAGCTAACACAAATCCTTTTTGTACATTATATTTGTGTGGAGGCGCGGTTGGCGGATCGTCGTCCGCTGAGACGTTGTTCACAAGCTCAACAAAGGGCTGGAGCTCCACGAGGATCGAAGCTTGGCTCTCAATCAGAATCTTGGCTAAAGCCATAGCTTTGCCAGCTAGCTGTGAACGGCCAAAGAGGCAGCCTCTGTCAAAGCCTCGCTCAGCCAAGGGGTGTTCCCAGTGGCCAGCACATGGCTGGCTGACGGCCAGCTCGGTTTTGACTTTGGGTCTAATTACCTAGGGGCACTGGGCCCACGAGGGATGCTTTGTCGGAACAGCTTCAATACGATGTCAAGTGGGACTCGACAAGCAAAGAGATTCTGTGTACTCAAATCAGACATGCACAGTACAATGATGATGACAGTCGACCGCGATACAGGAACCGGAATCTGACAATATGCTACTGTATCATCCAGACGAGCACCGCAGCTGCCATAGCCACGACTAGCCCAGCCAACCAGAATAATATGCTCAACGACCTCAGCCGTGTACAAAGACCACATGCCCCTCCCTCGTGGCTAATTTCGACGTAGCACACGACCCAGCAAACCCTAATTGAGCAAACAAAAACAGTCAATATCCGGCCAAAGGGCTGAATGTAGACGCAAAAGGTAAAAAACTCCTGGCCGCTTGGCCTGTCACCTGCTTTCAGCAACACGTCCCCAATTAGCACGAGGTTAGTACGAGGCCGGCCCCGCGCAACGCATGCCCCGAGATAACGGGAATGTCAAACCGGGGTCGCCAGCGCCGGGCGCGACCGGTATGAGCCGAGACCACATACCAACTCTATACGCGTTCGCAAGCCAACCTAGGGAATGGAAGGGGTATGCGCGTTATTCACCACGTCCGTCGTTGAACTTCCGCAGACATCAAGACTTCGCATGTAGTGGACACGGAGTTGCATCATGCACAAGTCCAGCAAAGTATCAGTTTGGCATCTTCAACACGCTGGGAGTAGGAGACTGCCGATCTGACTACCTGACTGACTCGGTCGCAAACAAGCTCAAATGTTTTGCTAAACAGCGACAATTAAATGAATGGAAATTATCAGATGTCGCGTATTTCGAACCTGTCGAATTGAGTTATATCCGACATGCCGATCAGAGTTGTATTTGTGTGGATTGTCAAGTTGGTTATGAAAAAACCTTTTACTTTCGTAACCCAATCAAGTCTGAGAAAGCTCTTGCAAACACACGGAGGTTTGTCAACCGAAATGAACTCCCTTCCCTCGTACTTACAGGCACAAACCATGAGTCTGGCATTATCGAATGCGTATACCATGACTCCTATTGCTACAAAGCCGAATAGAAAATCAAACGACAAGCGATTGAATTCAGCTGTCCTGGTGTGTGAGACCTCATCACTGCTAAACACCAGTGCAACAACACCATCTTCAAGTTGACACCGCAATCGGCTGCCACCGCGGCCAGGAAAACGGCGCAACCGAAACCTACTCGCAATGTTTTCGTCAAGAATCACCATCATCATCAGACGATCGCGCGCGATTGCGAATCAGTCGCATTGCACAACACGTCAAGGATAGAAAACGGCCCGGAGGGTAAGCCGGGGATGGGGGTAGGGAGTTCTTCTTTTACCAGCGACAACGATAGCAAACCCGATAATGGGACGAAAACGACAGAGACAAGAAAGGCAGTAGTTATTAGCTAGTTATCTTGACGGGGGAAAACGGGCGGGCGACAAGTTTCAAAACTGGGAAATGCGATAATGCACCAGCAGGGTTCATTCCATCTCGCAGAAATGCCCTCCCCGAAGACCACTATCTCTCTCTCTCTCTGTCTCTGTCTCTGTCTCTGTCTTACTACCCTTCCCGCTATCATCTCCCCTTTTTTTTTCCATCCCATCCCATGTTCCCACGCGTTATTGCAACGCACGCCAAACAAAGACGTGATCCGTCGTCGTGATCAATGGTCCAAATGATATCTTTTTTTTTTCCCGCCGACCCTGTCACCATGTCATCTGCGCGAAAGGGCCCCCCCCCCAGCATACATATACCATACCATGTACAGTACAGTACAGTACAAGTACACCCCCTCTGAAAACCTGCAGCAGCCGCCAAAACAAGAACCACCGCGGGAAAATAAAAAAAATATCAAAAGACAGTTGACGGAATCTTGAGGCTAGATCTCGAACAGATGAAAGGGGGGGTGTAAAGCGGCACGTGGGGGTGGGGGAGAAGGGGAAAAAAAAAAAAAAAAAAGGAAGGACGTGGTTGAAACTCGGCGCCAGCGTGACACAGAGTGAACTCGTTCCAACAAACTCTTACTTACTATACCAACTCTTTTGGAATCCCTCTCTTATCGTTGGCCACGCGGACGGGGAGGGGGGAGAGGATGAGATCTGTCAGAAGGGATACTAACGCCGGAAGCAGCAAGTAGACACGCTTCACCGGGACCCTACCCTAGTCAACATTGAGAAGGACATGATCAAAGATGGGGTGGGAATTTTGAAAAAAAAAAAAAGAAAAAAAAAAAAAAAAAAAAAAAAAACACTATGGACGCAACATGGCGTGTGGAGTTTGATGTTAACTAGGTTCAAGACCAGCTCAGGCTAGGGCTAGACTCTCAGACCATCATTACTGACTCTCTATCAAAGTCGTTGGGAGAAGGGGAGGGGTTACAACGCTCAAACGTTCTTTTTCGTTACCGCTCGCTCGCTCTCCCCGACTTGCGTAACATATGGGAGGGGCAGCGGGCAAAGTCCCAAGAGAAGAACCCTTTTCCTTTCCGCGCTCGTAGCTAAATTGTAGAATCCAGCGGGGATGATGCCGTTTCGTTCACAGCAGTAGTAGCAGTTGTAGTTCGTTCCTCGTCGTTGGTTGTCTGAAGCCACGATGGGCGACAAGCAAAAACAGAGAAGAGGCAATCAACAACACCCCCCGGTTTCTGCCTTTCCCAATAAGTACAACGACCAGAGCCGTGCATCTTGGCAACAAGTTTGGCTCTTTTCTTAGCTTGTCCTCTAAAGACGCAAGCAAGGCCGGGGAGGTAAAAAAAAAAAAAAAAAAGAGTTGGGGTACATGGGGTTCCCTTTCTTGTCTCACTGCCTTGGAAACCACACCCTCAACTCAATTCACCATTTCGAGGTCCCCCATTTCGTCAGTCTGCGTGCCAACTGTATACATCACATACCAAGGATATTTTCTCAAAGCGGGAAACCCCTCGAAAAAGAAGAGTCGACACAGATAAAACCTTACTTTTGTATCTCTTCTTCCCTTGCTCACGCAAACACCCCCCCGTGATGTCAAGATATGCAAAAGGTAGGTGAACCGTTCATGTGGTTAAGACACACACACACACATACACACCCCCCCTACAATTTCATGCAGGATATGCGGCCCGTCTCAATCAAACCGCATTAAAAAAGAAAGAAAAAGAAGAGACTTGAGCTGGATCAGACGACAGAAAAAAAATAATGGCTGGCGGCGCGCACACACTTGGTGTTGGAACGAGTCGTCGGCGGTCGACCAAACATGATGGAGGAGAGGGGAAGAGGGGGGGCCAGCGCCCAAAGCGCTGGGATGACAGTTCCCTGCGGCGGTGGGCGGCGCGACAGGCGACCGACTCAGTGCACTGCAGCGGCACAGGTTCGGGTTTTCACCCCGGATTAGAACGAAAAAGATAGGGCCTAGCTGTCGCTTCGCTTAAGAGCTCTTTGTCGTGAGTGTGGCCATGTCCAATCCAGCCTAGCAGTACTACGAATAGCCAACCCATTTTGGGGGGGCCGCCTGCCAGCTTACAGGTGGAATGTGAAGAATGGGCAAATGCAAAGACCGTTTTTGGCCCCCCCTGCCATTCACAATAGCAGGTGCGAAATGCGTGGTGGTGGCGGCGAGGAGGAGGCTGCGGGATATAAACCACTACTTCACTTCCAGGCGGAACACAAGGGTCGCGATAATGTGAGCCTGTTTCGGGGAAGGGATCGCTCTCGCCGCCTCCCCATTCTCAGCTCCCCCTTTCTCTCCTCCTCCTCTGCAATTGAAGGAAGCCTGATGGAAGAATCTGTGTGATGTTGTGCGTGTATGCGAGTGAGGAACAGGAGAAAACAGGATTGTGGTGTGCTGGCCACGAGAGCCAAGACCGGAAAACCGCATCCCAAGAAATGCAGCCATATCTCTTGGGTCCCCGTCTGTCAATCCCATCATCGGACGGGGCTTGGTCTTGGCCAAAAAGGGGGCCGGGACTGACCGCTCAGCATGGCGGGTGAGGCGACAAAGAGCGTAAATCCCGCCCAGCACAAGTGTCTTGGCTTTTAGGTCTCCTTCTCTCTCTTACTGTCGCCCTTCTGGGGGCGGAGGCTCTCATAGGCGTGGTGGGCTGGCTGGCAGGCCACAGATAGGCGGCAGGTGAGCTTACTATGTGCTATGCAACGAGTCGTCGTCGTTGTTGCCCGCCGCTCTTCTGCTGCACCACGATGTAAGGGTGTGACCTCAGCGGACTGTGGTTGGACGTGCCTTGCATTAGTGGCGAGGCGTGTGGTTCTGGATTTCCGGCGACGACGAGCTGCCTCCGGGGGTGTGGGAAAATCGCCTGCCAGCGATAAGAAGGGCCTTGGTCGGAGCGCAAAACTGACGCCTAGTTGGACTGTGGGTGGGCAACGCCGGACAGATGGCGCCGACACTCCCCCCTCCTCAATCTCATTAGGACCGACCGCCGTAGAGTAGAGAGGGGTGCTTTTCGGCCCAATTGTTATGCTCGCTCGCACGGGAGGTTGCATCGATACGTATGCCACACGAGCATGTCGTATTGTAACGAGGTAGACTCTGCCCGATAGAGGACGACGCGACATTACAGTTGAAATTTCTCATAGGCGAACTAACTGGACCATTTGCCGGCGGCCCTGAAAAACGACTTTCATCAGGCCAGTCGGCGATGGAGCCAAACCTGTGGTAGACAAGCTTTGCGACCTCATTGTGCCTTGGCACGGAAGAATCCATAGCTTGACCTTGGCAGGCGTATTCTGCCCATGAAAAAGGGGGGTGGGCGTGGATGAACACGCGATGATGATTCCAGGTTTTCATCAGTCAACTAAAAAAGAAGACGAAGTCACCGAACTAGTGAATGAGCGTATCCGTGATGACGGCAGTGATGATGGCCCTAAGGGATGAATATGATGAAAATGCGTGACCACGGACTGCCGATTAATGATGATGATCCGCCCGGGCCTGGCTATGTGGAGGCTTATGTCTGTCTACCCGTAGCACCGCCCGGTTCTCCTCTGTTCAAGGATGACTATACGCGGATTAGAGGAATGAGAAGTGAGAGAGAAAGCCTTTCCGGTGGAGGTCGCGAGAGCGAGAACGAAACATGGCCGTTCTGTCTATGGGTCTCAGTTACGGGCAATTTTTAGAAGCCCAGAAGAATGTAAAGATGCGACATTTCAGCTGGCGGCGCCGCGTTCAACGGCTCACTAACATTTGGCCTGCCACCGTCCCGTCTTTTGTCTTGGCTTGTCCCGTCATCGCACCACATAAGAAAAGAAAAGAAGGACATGAAAAAATATTAAAAAAAAAAAAAAAAAAAAAAAAAAAGCGGTCCGTAGTGCTACGTATTGATGCAGGGAGAAGGAGTCGTTTTCAAGCGAGACAAACCAGGGCACACGCCAGCTGGGGGCGGCAAACTGAACACTGGGTCACCCCTCGTCTACTTGATTCAGAGACAAAGAAGGACGCAAAGCCCAGGGTTGTTTTGCAAACATGATGAACGCTAGAATCAATGCAACGGGGTTCATGACAAGGAGAAGAGCGGAGGGCGGCAGGGGAAACGAGCTCAACGAAAGGGGGAGGGATAAATTGGGTAAAAAGCGAAAATGGGTCCTGTAACAAGCGACATGGAAAGGAGGGAGGGAAGGGGAAAAAAAGGAAGAGAGAGAGAGAGACGTAGCGTAGCGAGAAACTGGGGGACGGCTCACTGGTTGCATTATCACTCATGATCTCAATTTAGGGAGATATGCCGTGGGGGGAGCCGATATGAGAGAGATATGCAGTACCCATGAACCATGCCTGTTGGCTCTTGCAAAGACGTGGTGGGTATAGAAATTTGACACGGGCGGGGACTTATCCGTAGCGTGTTTATTGTTGGTTTCTGCTCCGGTTTTTGCAAGTTTGAGAATGAGTGCGAGTTGAGACTCAGCAAGTGAGAGATGATTCGTGAGTATCAAGCCTTGACTTGACTTCCTTGGAGGAGCAACAAGGAGGAGGACAAGATAGCAAGACCGAGAAAGGGACCGTCACCATGGGCCCTGGGGGATCTCACTCGGCCGGATGGCCTAAATGGCCTAATTAGGAAACCGAGGGTGCATTTCAGCGAATAGTTTGAAGCCCATCCAGAAGAGGGTGGGCGGCGGGTCGCAGGAATCAGACTCAGGCAGGATGGAACTCCCAAAGCCCTGGAACTGAACGCTGCATATCCCAACTTGTTGTCATCATCGTGTCCCCTTAGCCAGGGCCCAACAGAGGTGAGAGGCAGCCAGGATGGTCCTCTTTTGAGTGCCCACAGGACCACCCGCGGAGGAGCAGGAACAGGGCAGCAAACAAGTGGATGGAAAAACCGGGGTAGGATGGTGTTAGTGTAAGGAGAAAGAGAGAAAGAGAACGAGCATGAGCATGAACATGAGCAGGCAGGGCAGACATGGACAGACGGCAGACCAGACAACAGATGGCAGGCGGAGATGCAGAACATGACAATGAACAAAAGAGGGGTTTAATCGTCGTCAATGTTTCCCCCATCTCCTCGGGATGGCTCAGGGAGGGGGTAAGAAATGGAGTCAATGGGAATGGGTCTTCTTGGGAAGAATTAGAACGAGAGAGGAAAAAAAACACCACAGCCCACACTGCCCAGCTGCGGATCACGGTGCAGCGTTGCTAGGAGGACAATGGGCGAAAACGAGACCGATGAGGATTGACTTTGTCCATAGCATCGCACCTTCGTCACCACGGGTGGCTTGGAGAGCTTGATGGTTTCTTATTCAGCGTGCGACCTTGTCTGAGAGCAAAGTCTTGTCAGTTGCGTATGCAGTCAGGTCAGGCAGTGTACGCATGCCCTGCCGGCCAGTGGCTTCTCACTAGAAACTACTCTCGCGGGCCGCCTTGGCAGTTGGCGTTGGCGTGTGGTAGTGAGAGCACCATGACAGCTTCGGTTGTGGCTGGGTGACCCAGATGCTTGAGTGTCTCTCTTTTGTGCATGTATATGCCGCCTTAGCCAGCACCGCCTCACTGAGGGACCTGAATGGCGTGTCTTAGACGAAGAGTTTGTTTGGTAGTATGCTGACCTGACAGACTCGTAGACGGATGGATGACGACGATTCATGTGAAGAAAGAGGGGAAGGACAGCCAGTAGAACCAGCACCAAAAACAGCACCCAAAATACGGGGTGGAATTCTGGTGGAGAGTCGAAATGGGGCCCAAGGGATGAAATTGAGCGACCGCGCTTGTGCGACTTGGCATCAGATGTGGGTTTGGCACAAGAAGATCCACCACCCGCACGACACCAGCGAGACGGAGCAGGTAAGCCAATCAAACACGACGAGACTGGCATGGAACATTCCGCTAGTCGTCTTTCATAAAAAGAGATTATGCCAAAACGAGCATCGCAGAATGGAGCCAGGACAGGGCCTCTTCCGGTAGCGCGAACCAGTCCAATGCAACCGCTACTGCAACCTTCTTCCCCCCAAGTATGCTATTAGCCTCGCTTCCCTGTACCTGTGCGTATGCTTGTACCATAGTAGTTGTGTCTGTGGTCTGTATACCCATGTATCTGCCGTCTCGTAGCATTTTGTGAGGGGACTTGCCTCTGCTACGGGCCGACCTCGAAGCGTCGCTAGAGATCTGCTAGCGAGGCATTTCCACTCCTAGATGGTTGTCGTCAAGATGGGCAGGCCGATAGACTACTTACCTTTCTGTCTATTGAGTTGTGGGCCGGGTCGATGAGCCGGCTTTTGAGGCCTAGTTGTGGTTGGGGAGAGAGGGAGGGACCAAAAGCATGACCTTTATTACCCTCCTAGTCATAGTCGTTGCCGTCGCGGTCCTCCGTGAGAGACACTCAGAGGTACTCCCCCCGCAGTAAACAGAGAGAGTGTACTTATCATCTAACCTCTTTGGGTCTTTTAGGGGGCGTTTGGCGGGGACTGTTGGGGTGGTGCCGCTGTCGTCCTGGTCGCATGGCCTGCGCCGCGCAGGAGAGAAAAAGAGCACACGGACGCGACGACGCATAGGAACTGGTCATATCTGCCAGTCAATCGGTCCCTTCGTGTCCCTCTGATGGTCTCGTGATCATAGCACTGCTCAATCTACTACAATGCTGAGTGTAGCGACAGACAGTCCACTAGATCTGATGTTCAACTGTTCAGCAGTGGGCTGTTTGCAGCGACTCTCAACAGGCGGTCTAGACTGGTCCCTGCGCCGCTGAGGTAACTTCTGAGGAGCTACACCGTGACAAAGGGCAGCGATCAAGCGATCAAGCGTCAAACCCCAGTCCAGCTGGACTGTATTGCTCCATTGCTCGAACCATTCTGGAAATGGATGCGCATCCACAGGGTGGGAAGGCGAGGTACACACATAGTAGCGTATCCGATTTACGGGCTCTGCAGTGGCAATAGCGCCCTCGGGGTACCGTAGTACCATAGTAGCAAAGAGACAAGGTACTCGCTGTCCCATCCTGACATGCTAATGGGTACGGATACTATAGTAAGTAGCATGTATCCATATTGATGGAAGGTTTACAGCATTAGCTAAGAAAACCTTGGCTAGGGGAACCAGGAATACACGTACTCGCGTCCGTCGACAGTCAGACAAGAAGCCAAAGACGGGGACTTTTTGCATCGCATGTTCTGCTTCAATGAGCGTATGCGTGTATTCGTATATTTTCGACGTATTCGCCGCTGCCAAGCCGGTGTGCCCCAAGCTCCAACAACAAGGGCCCTGGAAGAAGCCGACGAAAGAAAGAGAAAGAGAGGAAGGGGGGAAGCCGATCTAGAGAGAGAGAGGAGCCGCTCAATCTTGGCATGTTCTTCAAACATCATCTCCGTTGCGTCTTGCAGCCACTGCCCGGTCGCCTTTTGTTGTGGTGGTGTTGGCGTAAACTGGCATACTGGCTAGCAGAGTGGGAAGAGAATGCCATGCTTTGTCTGGGTCTGGCTGGAGGAGGCCGTAGTGGTCGAATGGCGGCGGTGGCAGCTGGCAGTTGGCGGCGGGTCTGGTCTGGGCCAAATCCAACCAATCAAAAAATTCCTTTCTCGAGTTGGAGGAAGGAAAGAAGAGCCCTGCATCGCAATCCCGCCTTCCATTTCAACTTTTCCCCTTCGACACCCCTCCAACAAGAGCAAGAGTGACCCCCCTCCCCAGTGCTGTTGCTGCTGCCACACACGCCCCCCCTTTTCCCACCGCTGTCCCCGGTCTGGGTTTGGGTCTACCACTAGTTTTAGTGAGTCGGCGGTACGTATCCTTAGCGGAAACTAGGATTCGAGTGGGGCGAGGTAGGACAGGTACGTATCTTTTACACATGCACAATCTCTCTCATCCCATGTCTGTCACTTCACGGCCCTCACCTCTCTGGGCTGCATTCTCATCGCTTTATTTCGTACTCGCAGTGTCTCTGGCTGCTACTACACCTTCTCTCTTTTGGAGCCTGTTGTGCTATCCCTACGGGTGGGCCATGTAGCCATATCCATCCATCGCTGTTTCTGTACCATAGTACTCCTTCCTTATCCACCTTCAAATGCCTTGCCCATGTCCCCCATGTCCCCCCCATGCCCATGCCTACTACCACTACACATTCTCAATAAAACCATCGTGACACCTCCTCCGTGCGCTTCTGCTTCTCGCCCTCTTCCTCTTCTTGTCTTGTCGTCTCTTCAAGCCCGCCAAGTGAAGGTCGTCCCATCCCGAATGCTCTGCTAAATCGTCTTGCTGTCTGGTTTCAACGCCCCCCAGTCGCCCATCCACATTTCTAACCACGCCTGGCATCGAGCTTCCTCGGGATACTTTCCTTATCCTCGTCCTTTGTCTCCGCCCTCGACCTTCTTCAATACCGTCCTCCCTCCTCTCGCCTCCCCCAATATCTCTTTCATCGTCTCTACCCTCCATTCCGCGTGCCAGCTTTGCATCGCTCCCTTCCAACAACAACACCTACCAGCCCCCGGTTGATATCGACAGACCCTTCCGAAGGGTTCGATTTCGACACCGTCTGCCGCTAGAGAGACGCTTCTTTGTCTTGGCTCCCTAAGCCCAGCCGTCTCTGCCTGCGCTTTCACCTCACCTGCTGGCTGAAACCATTTGAGTGGGTTGATATATCAGGTCCATTCATCGCCTTTCGAATTGCGCTGCTTCACTGTCGGCCTTTCCACCCCAACTTCTCAGCTGTACGTCACCCAATTCTCTCCCCTGATTGGGTCCGCGGTGATCTCAATCATTACCCTGCATTACTTGCTTACCCCCAAGCCACCCTCACCCTCCTCCTGTATAAACCTCACGGTTAAATCATACTTTGACCTTTCCATGTCCCTGACTAACACTCTACTCAGTTTTCCCAACAGCTTCTTCGGCAATTGCCTCTTCTTGTCTGTTCAGCAAGTAGGGACATTACCTCCTTGGGTGCTCGGATCCTCCAGTCCAACATCTCGACCCACTACCTCACAAGCAACACCATACTTTATCATTAGCTGGCCAGCGAGAAATCAACACTTGACGCCATGGCTACTATCCGTGAAGAGGCGGCTGCCTACCCGACCGTCGGCAGTGTCACGCTGCCCGAGAAGGCTGCCTTCGCTACAACTACCGAGGGCGTTTCGTCCGCCAACTTGACGCCAATCACCACGGCTACCCCCGAGAAGAGCCTCGACCTACACCGCGACAGCAACCTATCTACTCCCCGATCCTACCGTAATGAGAACCCCTTCGACACCGATATTGAGGCTATGATCACCACCACCAGCTCATCTGATCCCTACGCCATGAAGACCATCACAACCACAAAGGACTGCCCCACCATATGGCCTGGGAAGCAGGACTGGAAGGCCAAGGCCAAGGCTGCCAAGCGGGATCGCAACTCTTGCGCCTGTATGGCTCGCATGTCCAAGAAGAACCGCATCATCATGAAGGTTGCTATTGGTCTCCTTGTTATCGGCATTGGCGTGGGCGTTGGATTTGGTGTCAGCAAGCCCCTCGGCGCACCCATCTGGGGCACTCCCGATGGAAACAAATGAAGGAGATGGGAACACGCCTACAGGCAACTAATTTCGACAACGGACTATGAACCACCTGTCTGACCATCATCTATCCATCACAAAACCCGAACATACTCGGATCAATACTCAGCCAACAACATCCGATGCCGTACATTCGAGCCGCTTCTCATTCAGTTTGTATGATATACAACGACTTCTACATTTCAACCAGGCCCCGACGGCCACATCGGGGGCTTTCTGTTTTGATTCTCTCTTTTGTCGGACTTTTGTCGCCGGTAAACGGGCGGGTACGGACCGGACCAACCATAATGAATAGGCGTTTTTGGAGTCAAATGCATGGACAATCAACTAGCGAGCGAGCAGCGGCACCTTTCAGTTCAGTATCCTACAACAACAAGGCACACCCGCCCAGTCTTGTGGCTGTAAAAAGCCCGAACGGGTGGGCTTATTTGGGCAACGGGGCGCGAGACCAACCATCTCGGTGCCCGCGTCTGCAGGAGCAGGGTCTTTCCCACTTTTTCGATTCTTAAAAGGGGAGAACAGCACCAGCACTTCTTGTATAAGGGTATTGGGGCGCTTCTACAACAGCGTTTTTTTTTAGGGGAGGAAGCATGCAGTTCGCAACGACTGCGGTTTGTAAGAAAAAATGGGATCATTGAGGGAAGGTATTCTGTTGTATGGCCACTATTAGACGGCCGTTCTATTGCATTAGGGTATCAGGGAAGAGCAATCAAAGAGTTTCAACGGGTGCCCGCAGTCGAGAAGCGCTCTGGCTGACGGGCTACCCCATTTCTTGGTTAACACACAAAAATCATTCACACCTTCTGATGAGTTTTCAGGGTCATCCCTTCTCCCGTTGGTTTTGGCCCAAAGTGATTGACATGAAACGACGCACGTTTGTCGGGGTATATAGACCCTTATCTCCTACAAACTAGGAGCTGACATTCAATAGGGTCGGTCCACCTCGGGACTAGAATTCATGCCGGGTCGCCCAGCTTGCCGTATCCCGACCCTCTCCAACACAGAGTTCAGAGCTCCCCGTCTCAGAGTTTTTGGGGATCTCCTTATCCCGCGATGTTGGGAAGGATAACTATAACAGCGCCTGTTAGAGGATCGCGTTCACTCGAGAGAGTCTCTTGGCTTGCGGCTTAGGCGACATCACCTGTTCTCCCTTGAAGTTTCCCTTGTGCTGCCTTCCCTTCCCCCAATCCAAACGGGCAAACCTTGACCGACGCATCGTTTTCCCGTTCTAAGGTACAGTTAGCGGCCGTGCGACCGGTGGGCGAGAACGCTTTGGAGGACAGAGTTCGCCTTACCATCTGCCTTGGGGTCCGCATCTCTCGGCCCTTTGGCCCCTCTAACCCACCTGCCCGCAGCTGGAGCAGAGTCGGGGCCACTCTGAGGACGGTCGTCTATCCCGCCGGCCATGCGCCGACTGGGGTGCCCCCCCTTCCCCGGCGCCGTCGTTCTCGTTGTTCGGCTGCCAAGACGTAGCAGCAGATTCACCTCGAGCATTGTCGATCCGATCGGGTTTAGGTGCTGCCATGCCGCCCTAAGGCTTGGCGGGCTGCTTGCCGGCTCGTCGGGCGCCGCGGGCCCTCGGACCCGAGGCGGCAGCAGTGGTTGCACGCTCTTCTTCTTCGTCGTCAGAGGAGGAATTGAGTTCGTAGATGTTCACCTTGGGGGATTGGCCGTTGTTGTAGTACGAAGGGATGCCCTCGTCCCAGCTGGGGCTGGGGTCGACGTTCGTTGGAAGTGTGTTCGGGTTACTTACGCCGCCACCGGAGGCGGGAGCCGCCTTCGAGGCCTCGGGCTGCGATAAGGATGCCTCTGCGGACTGGGTTTCGTTCCGCCTGGACCCGGTGCGTCCGTAAATCTGGTCAACAACGTCAGCATCTTGCTCGCGGGCGCGACTGCTTTCGCCAGTCGTCTCGACAGTCTGCTTCACGACGACTCTCTCCTCGCCGCCCCTCCCCGCCACGAAGCGCCTCTCGCCCTCCGACAGCTGCGTGCCTGACGACGCGTCTTCGGGCTTGGGCCGTCTCGGCGGGAGGGTGGAAGGGTACAGTCTCACTTGGGAAAAGGCGTGTCTGCGGCCCCAGGCGGGCGTGCCGCAGCCCGCTTTCTTGCCGTCGTCGTAGTCCCAGGAGGAAGGAGGCCAGATTGTGGAATGGGGGATGCGGGGGTTCGTGAAGGAGAAGGGGACGCCGTTGCGGTCGACGGGACCACTCACCTCGTTGGACTCTTCCCCTTCGTCTAGCTCGCGCCAGGGGAACCAGAATTTATGGTAGGGCTGCATCTCGATCTCTTCGTCGTGGACCTTGCGGCGGGATTCGAGGTGGACTGTGAGGGCGGCGAGGAAGACGACGATTACCGGGATGAAGAGGAGGATGATGTAGGCCGCTGTCAAGTCTCCGTAGACCGCGGGCCGTTTGGCCGGCGCTGCTGGTGTCGGGGAGTAATGAGAAGGGGTGGGGGTTACGTGGATTGTCACTGTGGTGGCGGCTGGGACGCGATGGGAGAGGGTAAGGGGAAGGAGACCGGTGGGGGTTGTCGTCTTGGAGAAGGAGGTGAGAGGAGTGGTGATGATGTTTAGCGTGGGTGTTATCGTGAGTGTGGTAGGGACAACGACGGCTCTGGTTCTTGTTGTGAGTGTTGTCGGGCAAGGTGGGATGGGGTATGGGAGGTACCTGAAGTCCGCGGTGCGCGTCATCTTGGTGAAGGCGGCGGGCAAGTTTCTATGTCGATGATGTATTTGGGAGTACTGACAGGTGAGTATCGTCGGATGTCGTGATGGTGATGTTTTTCGTGTGATGGTGAACGGAGTGGACGTCAGACTACCTTTGGGTAAAAAGTTTGCTGTTTGTGTTTTCTTTTGGTTTCAAGGTCTAAGTAGGTGCCACAGGGTTTGGTTTTCAACAAAAAGGGATGAATGTAGGTGAGATATTTACTTACTGTCCAAGTTGCGTCACGTCTTCTGTTATTTTCTCTTTCTTGATATGGAAAGGGGGGGAGGGCGGTTCAGTTGGATCGGGTGCCGTTTGTGCTGGTGATATGTGTTTGTGTCTACATTGGACGGCGAGCAGTGAGAGGTCTGGTCAAAAGTGAACAGCTGTTCCTTCCTCTGGATCAAATTGGAAAGATGTCAAGGTACAATGGTCTTGTTTGGTAGTGGACGGAAGAAAAGGTACGAGATAATGGGATTGTGGGTGAACGACGTGGGTGGTGAGGTGAGATGAGGTGAACAGATAGATGGAAAGACGAACAGATAGCTGTGCGGCAGGTAGGGCGACCGTCTTCTCATGGCCCGTCACAGAACAAAACTACTGTGTGAGGATGGCATAGGTGAGATTAATGGTCCCTTTGTGCCGGTTTGTGCTGTATCTTTCGTGGTGTTTCGGGTGATTGTGTGCTTTGTTTGTGGGCGTATTTAGTTGTGATGCTCCGTGTGACTGCAAGGAAGGAGCTCACTTACCCATCACAACACACCATCCCAAAACTGAAATCACTTGGCCGTCTTGGCTTTTCGATTACTCGCTTTCTCTGAAGAATACCAGCGTTCTAAAAGGCAACTTTCCCATACCCCTCAGCTTCCTTGTCAATATCTTGTACCGCGAGGCTAACAAGCTCTAGATCGTCCAGAACACCATGGAACCTCACAACCGGGCTATTATTGCCATCATCATCGTCGCAGTCATTATCTTCCTATGCGGTATCGGCCTCATGCTATTCATTTGGAGGGAGGAGTGGAGACTTTCTCGAGAGGACAAGAAGAGGATTGAGATGATTCCCTGATTGCGCCAAACAAACACCGCGTTTTGCTTTCAGTGCATGAACAATCACGAACTGCCCTGTGCACGAGGTATTACAAAAATTCTTTGGCGATAAAGAGTATGAGATTATCATGATGGGAGACATCGTGGAGGGAACAGTTGATAACTGGGCAGGGGACATTTTCGCGTGACAGCATTGCCAGGTCGACGAGGCATGAGGTTCTTTTTACTCCGGCAGAATTGTACGCAAAATTAGGGTGTGAATAATGCACTTGATGCATACCTACCAAACTGGGAAGGTGTAGGATGGCATGCCTGATTTGTGCTTTACCAGAAGATGTGACAAGGTAGATTGTACGATACCATGCTTTGTTAAAATAACCCATAGAGTGGCGTCGTGGAAAGAAGCCAAGTGGTAATAGCTAGATACTCTAGATTATGAATGATTTACGATAATCCCATACCCAGAGATGGAGAAGTCTAGCAGCCTAGAGCGATACACTTCAAGCCCAGCAGGATTTGAAGGTCTGAATGGTACCTTATTGCAATTTGGAAGAACGGTGCCACAAGGGAGCCCTAGATGATGGACCAATCTCACTTCACGCTTGTGAAGACATTGTCATTGTGTAGTTTTGCTGTGATGAGGTCTTTGGGGAATCATAAAGCAGGACCTTTCAGAAACACTGCAAATGAAAGGTGAGATACAGAAAGACCAGATGAGCAGCACGATACAGGGTGCAGATTTGACGACAGAAGCCGGACCCAGAAGCTTGTCATAGACGTCACACATCTGGTATAGGATGAAGTCCCCACTCCACTATCTAGCGTCCTGTCTACAGCGCCATTTGGCCTTATACCTTGGATAGTCCTGTCAACTTGAGCAAGTCAGTAAGAGAGTTGATGAGCTGAAAATACGAATACGAAAGGCCTCAGCGCTTTCAACACAAGACTAAGATGATAGCCGACCTGTATGTATGTTGAGAATGACGAGCAGTCAGCTATACAGGGGGTAGTCTAGCAGTATAGCGGCAGTTTAAACGAACTGGTTCAGAATCCTTCAGTCTTGCGAGCAGGTCTCGTATTCGTATCCAGTTATAAGACATCGCGCCGCCTTCTATCAAACTACTTAAACATGAGATATTGAAGAAGTTGAAAGCAATATTATTTTAGAGTCTGCAGCGCTATCGACTAAGCATTTACGATGGCTTCCGCATCACCATTTCCCGTTATCGTACACCAAATCCCCTCGGACACGCCAAATCTCGTGGCCTATGAAAGAGGACATTCATCAGCAAAGAACGCTCTTGTCTTCATCGGAGGCTTAACAGAGGGACCCCACACCAACGCTGCCATCGGGGTGATTGCAGACAAATTGGAGGGCTCTGGCTTTGGTGTGTGGGAGCTGCGGATGCGGAGCTCCTTTACTGGGTTTGGGTTTTCCAAGCTATCAAACGACGTGGAGGATATCTCTGCTTTGGTCGACTACCTCCGCAAACTCCACAAGGAGAAGATTGTCCTGTTTGGAACATCTACTGGTTAGCCCCTCTACCTCACTATTGGAACAATGAACATGGCTCATCTCCAAGTTGGATAATGTAGGCTGCCAGGACTGTCTAGAATACACTAATCGCGACCGGTACAAGAGCGTTCCTGTCGACGGCTACGTCCTCCTTAATCCTGTTTCAGACCGCCAGGCAGCCGGGCTATTGATGTCACAAGATGACTACGAGAAAAGCATCAAGCATGCGCAAGGAATGATTTCCGAGAGCAAACAAAACGAAGCCATGCCGATGTCGTTGATTCCCTTCATCTTCACATCCCCTATCACGGCATATAGATGGAACTCGCTGGGAGCTAAAGGGTAAGAACAATGACTCCAGCCTACACGGCAGCACACGGAATCAGTACTGACGTTCTATGACCTACAGAGGCGACGATGATTACTTCTCTTCGGATCTCGATGATGCCACCATTCGAACGAAATTCGGTGGCGTTGATAAGCCAATTCTGTTACTACCTGGCGAAAATGACGAACTGGTTCTGCCCTCTGTCGATAAGAAGGAGCTTTTGCGCCGCTGGGCTCAGGCCTGCCCAGAGGGTACTTTGAGCGAGCTATCCGGTCATGTTCCTGGAGCAGATCATACTCTGTCACAACCGGAAGCGAGAGAATGGGTAGCCAAGACTGTCGGGCAGTTTCTCAAGGGCGTGTGAGGACAACAATTTCAGGGTTGACGAGTGCTGGAAGATTTATAGAAAAGACCAAGTTCTCGAGATCCAGTGTCCGATTTGGCTGAATGCACTTTGAAAGGCGGGTTTTTACACCATTTGATAGGGCATCAATAACGCAGCGCCTGCTCAAATGGGAGCACGACATTGAGAGGCACTTCGTGTAGCGGCATCAAGTAGGAGTCACGGCAGGATGCGTCTTGCTTAAATGAACATGACTGTCGCAAGACTGAGAACATTAGCTCTATGACTCAAAATATTGGCTCAGTATGTTTGTATACATGGACCGGTCAAACCGCGGCAACCGGCATCATCACTGTAGCCAAGGTCAACGTCGCAAGAATGAGGCAAGCATGCTTGAGCATTGGATCTACTACGTCATGAAGACTAGAAGTGTCCTTAAACAACTCGAATTTATCAATTTAATATTACATGTCTATATGCAGAGAACAAGCTCAACTCTATTAAACGCTCTCGGCGTAATCAGCCTGCTTCGCGGGCGCCTTGGCCTTCTTCTCAAACAGCTTCTGGCCAACCTTGTCCGACAACTGATCTGCTCTGTCACCCAAGAACGTCTTGATACAGCCGTACACGCCAGATACCAGCCATAGGATGGCGTTCACAAGGTCAACCCAGACAGCGGTCTTCATCAGGCCCGTGCTGCTGCCCTTGTACTTGTCGTCACTGTCCCTCTTGAGGAAAATGCCGGCAAAGATCCCAAACACGGCAATCCACATGATGAAAAGGAACAAGTCCCAGGCGAATGCGCGGTATGTCTTGAAAATCTTGATCTTGCTCCCGATGAAGGGGATGGCGCCAAGCGGCGTAGCCGCGACGAAGAGGACGGCCGTGACGGCAGCAGCGCCGGCCACGGTGATGGCGAAGATCCACTCTGGCGAGAAGCCTTCGTCCGCCTTATCCTCGGCATGAACCCGATTCCCATAGAAGCCGCAGGCGATGAGGGCGAAGAGGAACTGCAGGCCGCGGCACACCAGGCGCGGCACGACCTCGAACGTCTTGAGCCATGTCTTTCCCATCGTCTTGCCCGTCTCGGCGCCCTCGTTGAATACGTGACGGCCAGCCTGGCGACCGAGTTCGCCTTTGTCTGCGGAGCGTAGTTCGGATGCGGCGCCGGATAGGCCCTGGGCGGTGCGGCCAAGTTCGATCACGGTCTGGCCGGCTTTAAGAGCGTTGGAGAGACCCATTTTGATGAAAGGTCTAGGAGGGTATCTTGAGAAAACGAAAGATGAAAAAAAAAAAAAAAAAAAAAAAAAAAAGCAAGGATAGTTGCCTGCGTTGTGGAATAATGTTGCCAAAATTGCGTCCTAAAATCTCAATCGTGATGTTGATAGGGAATCAAAAGTAACATGAACTGGCTAGCAGTATGGAAAAAAGAAGGTCTTGCCGCAATGCAAACGAAAGAATCAAGAAAAACTCAAAAAAAAGTGAACTGAATGATGGAGTAGGGAACTGATTCAGAGTGAGCAGGCATGAGACGTTGGACCGGCCACGACCTCTTCCTTATAGCATTTTCAATGGAACAAAGAAGGCATGAACATTACATGCCTTGGCGAGACAGAGACGCTGAGTCGCATTGACTGATGCCAGTGGAAAACGGACCCTTGAACGCTGGCCGCCGGTTCTCATGATGGAAATGTCACAGCCAATCAAACCAACTTCAACAGGGCTGAAACTGCCTGCAGGGATGGTGGTAGGCGAGATAGGTGTCTGACTACCTGCCAGTCAACACCCAACCACCTGTCATTGCCGCCTAAGCAGGCGCTTAGCGAAACTTCCATTCGTTACGCGCCGACAAAGATGAGTGGGACTCAATGCCAGCCAATACATATGTATATTGACGCGTTTGTTTGAATCTTTATTTTTATCCTCTAAAGACTGGAAGAGAGTAAAATAATGAGAGACATGGATACGGATGGAGCTGTTCAAAGCCAGTCGCTGGTAATGTCTCAACCAGACTACAGGGGTGAACTGAAAGGTAGCGCTGGGCAAAGAAGTCAAGGAAGCATACCAGAGATTATAAAAGAGAGCCGCGCTATAGTAATCTTTATCCCAAAATACAACAATTATTCTTTCTTTAAACAAGTGGCTGCCTCTGTCTCTCCTTCTCCAATAACGTAGCCAAAGCTCCTCCCGGTGTATCATCTCGTTCCATGAAAACCTCTACCATTCTTAGTCCCTTGCCATTGACCAGTTCGCCATCACTCAATATTGTTTCCAGTTCGCCCCAGGTTTTAGCAGAGCGTGTATAACTATCTTTGTTTGCACCGAAGAGACTTGGCGCTTGCAAATAGCGCCATGACGCGACGTCATTATATGTCTCGTTTAGTCCGTGGATGCATCTCTCGATCGTGTAGCCGTCGTTGTTGATGAGAAAGACGATGACATCCAAGTTGTTACGAATAATGGTAGACAACTCCTGCACAGTCATCTGGAAGCTACCATCGCCGATGAAGAGAATCGTCTGCGCGTCCTGGATGCCATGATATTGGGAGGACAGTACAAGCTCTTTCTGTGCCAGCGCCGCACCTTGAGATGCGGGAAGCATGTAACCGATCGACAGCCATGTGGCTGGAGTAAACAGCCTTGAGTGCGGTGGCATGGGGAAAGCCCGACAGCCATGGCCAGCTGTGCCTGTTTCTCCAAGGACAATATCGCCTGGCCGAATAATATTGGCTACCAGAGGCCAGAAGTCGGACTGAGCAATTTTTTCGTCTTTTGGGACTTGCGTGAAGGACATCTTGTAATCTTTAGGAAGGTTCGGATATGGGTTATAGCGAAACACTCTAGACAAATCCAGGCCCTGTACAAGAGAGCGAACAACAGTCTTAGCAGTGACGTCCCGAAAAACTTGAGTGCCGACTTTGATTTCAGTATCGGAAAACAGAATGGACACGTCAGGTTTCGGAACGGTGGAAAATTGGGCAGTGTTCGTAGAGCTGAAATGAGGGCCGAAGCATAATACAAGGTCTGCGCTCTCAAAAAGCTTTTTCTCTACACTGTCCGCGTACGGGCCTTTGCATACTCCATGAACATTTGGCAGAGTCTCCGAAATCAACGACTTGCCGAAAGGATTGGTCCAGGTTGGCCAACCGGTTGATTTGACGATTTCTTGTACTTCGTCGACGATGCCGATGGGCCTGACCTCGCCATCAACGAGAATCACGGGCTGTTTTGCAGAGTATATCCTTTCGAAAACTGCTGCAATGGCGACTTCTTCCGCAGCCGTGGGATTGTAATCGGGTGTCCAGATGGTGGGAGACTGCAGCTTGGCCGCCGAAACATGAACAGTCACCAGGTCCTGGGGTACCTCGATGTAAACCGGCCGGCTTTCTACGATGCAGCGTTTCAGCACCTCGTCAATCTGGTCCGGTGCTTGTTGCGGGTGGCGCAAGTTGGCCTGCGCGACGGTGACGTGAGAATGGATCTGCGCAAAGCGTCTGTATTCACCGTCGTTGAACCCATGATGAAGCTTGAGTCGAGAATCTTGTATAGATCTCGAAGGGGTTCCGACAATGTGTACTACTGCTGCGCGCTCGGCATATGCCCCCGCGATGGCATTGATGGCGGACAGCTCCCCCACGCCGGAGGTTGTGATGAGCGCGCCTACGCCTTTGATCCGCGCATACCCATCTGCCGCATAGCCAGCGTTAAGCTCGTTCGCGTTGCCGACCCAGTGTAGTCCTGCGGGCTTGACATAGTCGAGCAGGTGGAGGTTGAAGTCGCCGGGCACTCCATGGACGGAGCATATACCCAGTTGACCTAAGCGAGTGAAGAGGTATTCCGCCACAGTCACTGTTGAGGGCTTGCTGTCGGGAACGGTAGCCATGGTGAAACGACTGGTACCTTTGAAACTCTACTTCGATGATTACCTGTAAGATGCGCCAAAAGTGTCTCTTGTAATCTCTTTCTAGAAATCGTAGGTGAGTGATAGTCATATGGTTACTACTCGTGCCGAACCCCTCTTCTTGTGTTCGATACTCCGAATTATGTGGGGTAGGCTTGCTGTTCACTCCGATACGCCGGTAACTCACATCCGGAGAGTCGAGCCGAACCGGTTACACAGACCAGAATGATTACGCCACTGCCGCCGCCTTTCGAGGATGAAAGTGAGGCGATATTGCTAAATGCTGTAATGATATATAGACTTGAGAATATGAGATGGATGGTGAAATCGAGTTCCTTGCAGTGAGTGCAGTCCAACGGTATAAAAATAAACTTCGTCTCAAACATACTTTTCCAGACACTAGCCAGCAAAGCAAGCTCGGACATTCCCCAAGTTCAAGCCTCAGCTTTTACAACGGATAACCCCACGAACAGCTCCAAGCCACACAGCCACAGGCCTAAGCTAAATGTTTAGTCATGGTGTCATCGTCTGGAAGCCCGTAAGTGTCGAGGTTAAAGGGAGTCGCAGCGAGTCTCAAGTCTTCGAACATGATTAGCTGGGGACTTCCTCTACACTTTTTGCCCATGAAAATGAACTGTTAATTACATGGCATTTGGTGACAAATATACTCATAGTCAGAGGTCAAGACTCTTGACCTATACTTGGGCCTGAATTAAGGCGTCGCAGCCGGGTCTCGTCCAGCTTATTTGACCCGGTTGAACTTACTGAACTTGTCCATAAGCCTTGATATGAAGACTAATGCACTCGTTTAACTTACAGTACAACGTCTGATTTGATATTGGGTATCGGATGTTCTGCAAGCCTGGTGATTCAGCTTTCTTGAGACCTCATTTACCCTCCTACTACTGAGCATACACATGCACATGAGCTTAATCCAGTAGGCATCAAGATGGAAAGTTTTGGCCTGTTTCCTCCTCGACGGGACTCTTTGCAATTGGAACGCAGACGAGAGGCCGAGGCCGTTCAGGCTGCAAATGATCATTTCCGGTCAAAGTCCTGCGGAACCACTCAACCGGCAGAATGGCGAAACGCCATACATGACGCCGCGGAGACGCATGGCCTTTTAGTTATTGAAAGCGATCCCTATTTCTACCTTCAACATGAAGGTGCTCCACTTCTGCGCACAGGGAGACTAAGGGCTCTTTGCTTAGGACTACTTAGTCGTCTTATGTATCTTGATGTTTTCGGACGAGTTATCCGCCTTGACTCAAAATAATCAGAACCAGGGTTTCTCATCGACTGGCTCATTGCCAGCGCTGAAAGTTTACAAAGCTTCCCGGCGCGGAAACCAGTGCTGTTTTCCCGCCAAGGCCGTTAGAGGTTCTGGTGTACAAGTTTCTTGTAAGCTCTCGGAGTTAAACGAGCTTCCTTAACGGGCTCAACCATCTGTCTTCGCAATATATCAGGCGGCGCAGCATTTTGGATTTACAGTTTTTAGAATATCTTCCGTCTGATGTATGCAGCTGGATTGTCCGGCATTCGGTATGTTCTTTCCGGTGCGTTTAGACCTCTCAAGGCACCCTGCGGGTGAGGCAATCACGCCACCGGACTCCTCTCTGACAGATGCTATAACTGAAATCAAGGATAGAGTAGTAGGTCCGGTGCAAAGGGGGTGTTGGTGACCAAGGGTAGCTAGTTCACGGCTAAGACGGATGATGAGCAGGAAGCCCTCGCATCGATTAACATTCGTGGCTGCTTCTGAAGCGGCGTTGGACGAATTGTGGAAGCTGTCACCCGAGCTGTGCGTGAGTGGTTCGTTGAAGCGCAGGAAATATGATGAATGACGACTAGGTAATTCAACAACTCAGGTGAGTTGTCATCGACTACTTCTGTGGTTATCCTGATCCCATGACTTGCGTGATGGATGCCGCAAAACTCAACCAATTTTATGGAACAAATTCCATTCCCAATTTGTCACACGACTCTAGTTGCCTTTACCTTTAGTGATTATTGATTGATTGCTTTCAGACAGCAAGCGCCCAATATAGGAATAATGCTTTTCTCAACTTAACCAGCACGCAACGCATTTAAGGTCGTCTCTCGTTTCAGATAGGGAGGCGCGGCTGGGATGATCGAAGTACGGGAATGCTTGGTTTTATGATCCTGAATCCATGCGTCTTAAGGAAAACCACACAATCTTTCCCAGCCAGGCAAATTGACATGGTGATATTCTTTGAGTGTAAAGCGATCAGCTCAAGGAGTCAGTTGGCTTCCGTACGACTGTGATGTCGATTGGTGAGACGTATTTAGGTATCTTATTGCCAGTAATTCTACACATATACGGATACAAATTGGCATAATCCGGGAATCCGAAAGACCCGCTTGGATTAGCGTTTCGGTTTCGGTAAAGGTGTCGGAAGAGTTGGCGATGAAGACGAGGGTTACCTTAGTACAGGTTTTGTTCGCACTGGTGCCATGCTGAAGCTTCTAAACACGGCAACAATGCATTTAAACTACCTAGCCCCAGGTCTCTGGTGCCACCAGTTACCCTCTTTCCAGATGAAATCTATAAATGGCAGACGCATCTCACCAACACAAGCTTTGTGTGGGTGATGGCCAATATGCGCAGTGGCATGGGTTACGAGCTGCAAATTGCGATGCATGCCCGATTATAATTTGACGTCCAGGGATACAACGGCGGATAATAGAACGAACGCAGCATACTTTGATGAACGCGATTTGTCCAAAGCATACTTTTTTCGACGTTGATGCTACGGAACTGCAAAGGCGACAACTTCCACAACCAGGTTTGTTCCCGATGGAGACCGGTTTTGAAGATCACTTTCCCCGGGATCAGAAAAAGAGTCAATAGTATGGATGGCAGAAACTCTGAATCTGAAGACTCGCAGAAAAAAGGTACCAGTACTCCCGCATCAAAAAACAAATTCATGTCTGCGAAAATCATTTCTCTTTCCTGCCAAAGCACGATGATCAGGTACCGTTATCAGGTTTCACTTACCTAATCTCGGTAGAGTGAACATCACAATGTACGAATCGCCTGCAATGGCAACAGCTGAATCAGACATTGCAAAATTGGTAAAAGTGGTCGTAGCCAGACTCCCCAGGAGCGATTCCGAGATGATCGCACAGAGTATAGAGGTTCTTCGAGCGGCCGGTTGAAGAAAAACACGGATACAATTGCGCACATTTGACTCACTGACATTGATTGTCACCTCTGCTGAGTCGTGGAATCCAGTGGCGCCCCAACGAAGTTATCTCTCGCCGCATCGTGCCCGTAAAGTGTTGACGCCTTGGTAGCATCTACCGGCCGAACGTTACCTTCGGCTAGCAAAGATCGTCCTCGCCATGAGGGAATTTTCTTTGTGCGCAGATTATGGTGCTCTGACTTCAAGCTTGATTTTTTTGGCATTTTTCGTGAGGGGGCATTCCCTGTAAGTGTCGATCATGTTGGAACATCAGCCCGGATGGGATGAGAGGGATAGGAGAGGCACGAAGAGAGTATGAGAGGCACATTTCTAAAATGGCCATATAGTCGAAACATGGAGAGCTCCGCGGCCATGGCGTGCCATGGCGTGGACTTCTCGAAATTTCTCAATTCGTCCCCAGTGTTCTGTGAACAGGTCCCACTGAAGCACAAGAAAAAAAAACAAAAATAAACATCAAGTTGAGAGGGAGCCAAGCAGTTAAAACTGGAGACACGGGACAGGGGTGGATGGAGAAGAGGCCCCCTCTAGAATCACCATGTCACCCCATTTTGAAAGGTCTGGACAGAAGATCGTCTGAAGACTGATCAAGGGTTGGTTACTGGTCACCTCGGGGGTCATGGCAGCTGGGTACGGCGTACAGACGGGGCGACGAATGAGGAGGCAGCTTGCTACTCAGCTGCACCAGGGTTGAGATACGCCGACAATGTAGTGTACGCTACTCCATATCTCAAGGTTCACGCGTAAGGTAAGAGAGCGTAGTGACGATCCCACGGTTCGGGGGAGAGAGAGAGGCGCACAACTTGGAAGGGGATTTTGCCTTTGCAGCCTGTCGTCAGCCGAGAACATGTTGAACAATGAAAGTTGCCCCAAAAGAGCCTAAGCCGCCCTTGACTCAGCTAATAATAGTTTTATGGTTTCTCTCGGCCTTATCGAGGCGGGTAGCGCCAGCGTCAGTTGCAGTTAAAGTGAATATTAGCTCAAGCAATCATCATTCTAGCGTCTCGACTTTTGTTGCCTCCCTCCCAGGCCCGCTGTCATAACATGTGCCTACTATATTGCCCATTCCTGGGAGCGAAACGGTGAACGAACAAAAATGCGGTTGGCATCAGTGCGGTGCTACGTTACCCCCCTTAATCTAGCGTCGTCTACTCAAGGGAGGTACCCTTTATGTCTAAAAAAGGGGACGTGGGGCCATCTCGCCAAGATGTGACATCACTGTCAGTCTCTAGCCTCTCTCTGTTAGGACAATGGCGGTGTCATTTGCAGTGCCGTCTAACATGCGAGAACCCGTCTTAGCCATGCTACCTATACTACTACAGTATTAGTCGTGGCATCGGGAGGCTGCGATACAGGGACTGGGGGCGCAGCGAGCTGGCAGTGCCGCGCACAACCAACCACCCAAAAGAAAAAGCTTTGGTGCTAAATTGAGAACCTGGGCCAATCGGCGCTCTCGTGGGATCCGGTGTCCGAGGCCATCGGTAGTCCCTACAGCTGGTCTGCATCTTTCCCATCCCCAGTTCTTTTAGAGTGGGTTTCTAGTGGCTAAACGGCACTGACGGGTTGGATTCTGTGCGGCTTCTCCATCGCCAAGATGCCCAGCAGCCCAACAGTTCTCTCTCGTATTTGTCCGGCTTCTCCACTGGACAGGCCCATGATGTCAATCGGGCTCCGCTAACTGAATCCCCATCGGTATTACGAGAAGATCTTCGTAGACGGCAGTGCACTTTCAGTTTGCCTCTGCAACCCTGTTGGTTACTACCTATGTACACTACATACAACAAGGTACACGACTAGGAGATTGTCGATGATGTGGGATCCCTGAGCAAATACAGTGGCACCTAGCCAACCGTTCGTTACCCTTTTGCCATCATAAACATTGTATATAAAGGGACTGTCCATACCGCCATGATGGGAAGAAGAAGAACATCCTCATCTCACACACACCAACCAACCACTCTAATTACCAAAAGATAATTTACCGACCACTCCAGTCTTTTCAGAACTACAAAACCTTTCCTACACCACCTATCCATCTACCACCAACAACCGCCACAATGCAGTTCAAGGCCATCACCGCCCTTACCACCCTCGTCGCTGCCGTCTCTGGTCTTCCGGCCTTCGGCGCCACCAACGGCACCACCAACGGCACCGCTCCCGGCCTCCCCGCCGGTGCCAAGTTCCACCTGATGGCTCTCCGCTCCGCCTCCCCCATCCACTTCTCTCAGCTCCAGGCTGCCAAGAGCTCCATCTTCCTCCAGCTGCCTTCCCAGGGTGCCTCTTGTGACCAGCAGAACGCCACTGAGGCCGCCACCTTCACCATTGGCGACGACGGCGGCCTGTACCTGTACGCCGCCTCCGCCACCCCCCAGCAGCTCTACGCCGACCGATCCGGCATGGGTCAGGGCAACCTCGGCTACACCACCGGCGCTCAGCCCGGTCCCCGCAACGGCGAGCGCACCGGCTGGACCATTGACGCCTACGGCGACCTTACTCTCCGCGGCTCCAGCTTCCTCGCTTGCCCCAACAGCATCGACAACGCCTGGAGCGTCTGGGTCTCCGCCGGCGTCAGCCAGCCCGCCGGCCTCACCGACTGCCTCGGATTCTCTGCCCGCGCTGTCCCCGTGGCCAACCCCAACTCCTGCTCTTACACCTCTTCTTAAAGAAGTTTTTCCCTATAATATTCTTTCTTGGTATTAAAACGGCATCGGTTAAAGGCACTGGAACAAACTCAGGATATCCTATAGAATGGCGCTATTGTATTTTATGACATACCCTTACGACCAATCGGGGGGAATTTGTTCGTCGTGATAATGCGGCGATATTTATTTCTTGACACATGAATTAACATGTCAATTTACACACTTTAGTCTCATTAGTGGCCTGTGATAAGTGTGATGATCTTTTGTATCCTCGCGGGAATGTGCCTGACATAATGTTTCACACTCTTGCTTCTTAATGGGTGAGAGATTGATGTGCCTGCTTACCATTTCCTTCGGCATTGTTTGATTCAGATTTGCATGGTGTCTCAGAATATTGAACCCTTTGGAGAGGAGCTGCTTGATACCTTTTGTCTTTCTTTCACATCTGAATGGAACGACTCGGCCATTGGAAGGATTCAATAGTCGCTGTTGCTTACAAAATATACTACACAGTTTTTACTCATAAATTGACCGGTATCTCTCTACTAGCCCTCCACCTTGGCAATGCCTTCAAAGTCGCTCTCCAACTTTGCCTTGTTGAACTCCGGGTCATTAGTGGGCAGTTCGACACGCCACTCGGAAATCTGCGCGGCGCTAATCTGAACCTCGCCATCCGTCCCCAAGGACAGGATATGTCCACCCTGAGTCCGGTCCTCCGTGATGAAATGCAAATGGTCGCCCGCAACGCTGATGCCCTGCGTGTATTTTGGCGACCTGAAGCCGATGACGGTCCCGCGCACGGGTTCGCTGAACGTGTGCGATGCCTGGTTCTTCCCGACCTCCAGCATGCTCTCCCCCGGCGTCTTCTGTCCTCCCGCCGTGCGCACCGTGACGCCCTTGAAGACACCGTCGATCCTGATGGCCAGGAAGAAGTTTTGTGAGTCGGGGAAGTCGTGAGATAGGTGCTCGAAAAGCCCCTTCTTGTCGTCGAAGCTCGCCTTGATCGTTGTAGTCGGCTGAAAACGGGTGATCATGGCGAAGGGCGAGACGGCATCGCTTGAGGGGCTGATGTCGACTTCGCTGACCGTGCCGTCCGACTTCATCTGATACAGCTTGTCGTCCAGGATGATCATCTCGCCAAACATGTACCGAAATGTGCCAAGGCCGTGGTTCCCGTGAGACATGAGCTTCGACACCGGCAGCCCCGTGGAGGCAATGCCGTCCATGAGCGCCGAGATGATTGAATATTGGTATATCTCGTTAACCGCCATCTTTTCTTTTTTTTGTTTTGTTTTTTTGTCTTTTCTTGTGGTGGTGAGATTTAAGTTTGTGGGTTTGACTGCAGATCAAAAAATGCCGAGACCGGAACAATGCGGAATTTCAAGGTGGTGAGGTCCTGTTTGACTTTCGGGAAGTATTTGCAGAAATACACGTGCACTTGGCTTTTTTCTTTTCGTCTCCACGGAATAAAAAAAAAAATGTCAGTCTGTCAGCTCAACCTGTAGATGCAAGTCGACATTCTAAGTCTACATTTTGGGCTTGAGTCATCACCATGCAACCTGCGCTCGGGGTTCCACCTCGGTCGCTGACGTCAGATATGCGGCATAGCCGGCAGCAATACTAGTAGACAGCGACTATATGACCACTAGAGGCTTTGCGGCCTTTGTGGGCATGTTTGCTTTCTCCACAGCGGCGGGTTATCGTGAGATCAATCATACACATTCCCGGGAATCCTTGGCACGGCGCTGTTGTGGCTATAACTCGACGGAAACGGAGTGGGAATTTTTCAGCTCAGTTTCTCTAGCTTGACTTTACAACAAAGTCTGCTTTTCTTTTGGCTCAAGGCATCCTCATTTATTATACACCAACAAAGATAATCGGTCACCCCCTTCACCATGTCCACAGAAACGGTTGATGTCGTGATAGACTCCCTCATCGCGGCTGGCGTCACGCACATTTTTGGCGTTCCGGGCGCAAAGATCGACTCCGTCTTTAACGCACTCATTGACCGACCGGAAATCAAGCTCGTGGTGTGCCGGCACGAGCAGAATGCCGCATTTATCGCCGGTGCGATCGGCAAAATCACGGGGAGACCGGGGGTATGCATAGCCACCTCCGGCCCGGGAACCAGTAACCTCGTCACGGGTCTGGTGACCGCCAACGACGAGGGCGCGCCCGTCGTCGCCATCGTCGGTGATGTCAAGCGTGTACAGGCCGCCAAAAGGACACATCAAAGCCTGCGCGGCGTGCAGCTGCTCGAACCCGTTACCAAGAAGGCTACCGGCGCCGTACATCCGGACCAAGTTGCCGAACTGATGCTCGATGCCTTCCGGACCGCTGCGGCGTATCCGCAGGGTGCAACGGCGCTGAGCTTGCCCATCGATATCATGACCGCAGGCACCAAGACGACTATCCCTGCGCTGCCCGCAAGTGCCTTTGTACCGCCCGAGTACGGGACTTCACCATCTGCGTCGTTGAGCAGGGCGGCGTCGATGATTCAGGATGCCAAGTTTCCCGTGTTATTCCTAGGAGCGAGGGCAGCTACGCCAGAAGCCGTCGATGCGGTCCACGGCTTCCTTCGGAAACATCCTATTCCCGTGATCGAAACGTTTCAAGCAGCCGGCTCCATCAGCAAGGAGCTTGCGCACCTCTTCTACGGCCGTGTTGGCCTCTTCCGCAACCAACCTGGAGACAAGCTCCTGTCGCAAGCGGATCTCGTCATCGTCGCAGGCTACGACCAGTCAGAATACGACGCGGACGCATGGCACAAGGAAAAGAACCTCGATATCCTCCACCTGGACTGGATCCCGGCCGACTACGGCGCATTCTACAACCCGAGACTCGAGCTCGTGGGCTCCATAGCTGCCAACATCAAGGCGCTCATGAACATCCTCGCGAACGTTTCCCGGCCGCAAGAACTCGACGTGTCAAAGGCAATCTTTGCCGAGTTCCACGCCTGGGAGCAAAGTCCACAGGCGCTCGGCCAGACGGGCGACGGGCCAGTCCACCCCCTCCACTTCATCAAGCTCATGCAGGGGCTCCTCCCTCCTACGCCGACAGTCGCATCGGACGTGGGTAGCATGTACATCTGGCTCTCGCGATTCTACTTCGCCTACTCTCCAAAGTCGTTCCTCGTCTCCAACGTCCAGCAGACCCTAGGCGTCGCACTGCCCTGGGCCATTGGCGCGTCGCTCGCCCAGGAGCCCCCGTGCTCCCGGAAAGTCGTCAGCATCAGCGGCGACGGAGGGTTCCTGTACAGCGGGCAGGAGCTCGCGACCGCCGTCCAGCAAGGGTGCAACATCACCCACTTCGTCTGGAACGACGGAAAGTATAACATGGTGGAGTTTCAGGAGGTTGACAAGTACGGCCGGAGCTCGGGTGTTGACCTGGGCGGGGTCGACTTTGTCAAGTACGCCGAGGCCTTCGGAGCGAAGGGGTTGAGGGTCACCCGTTCGTCGGAACTGGAGGCCGTCATGAAGGAGGCGCTGAGTCATGTCGGGGTATGCGTCGTGGACGTTGAGATTGATTATTCGCAGAACCACGAGTTGATGAAGAATGTGATTCCCGAGTCGATTAGTTAGAGTTTTCTTCATTTTCGTTTTCTTTCTGGATAGAATGGGCTAGACGTCAACTTGGGGAGGGGTGCAGTCAGATGTGTGGGTTGCGTGCCAAGAGCACGAATTTTGTATCATTACTACTGCCAAGGAAAGCTTGATGATTACATATGCTCCCTAGGATGATCTGTTTGAATGAACCTCGTCTGATGGTGTCGAGTTATTTGAATGGGCGAATGATCGTCAACTGCCTTGTTGAAGTGCTATCGTTATTGTACTAGCTTGGTCTCGGAAATTGCCAAGGATTGCAGGATTGTGCTTCTCAACCCGGCTTTATCAGGGACCCTTTGCATATTTTGTGTTTTAGTGAACGGCTTCTCCGACTACACAACTGAGGGACTCCATGGGTGATACAGGTAGTTCAATGACAGATCAGTGATTCACATGGTTGGCTAGTTTGGGAGGGGATACGCGTATCACGGAATAGCAGAGCTTGGCATTGTTTCTGAAAGCTTCGGAAACAATCCTAGGGGTTGCTGGTGGTGTTGGTAAGATGCATTGGTGAGAAGTTTATATTGCGGAGCTGTGTAAGCCGACACGGATTACAAGTAATTAATTAGATAGCCGAGATGCCAGGCTTACGTGTGGTTCAAGTCGCCGCATTCCTTAGGAGCTTACTAACTTTAACGACATGATTGTCAAGTCTCTGCTGTATTCTATCATGATTCTATCAAGAAAATGAATGGGAGTTGAGGTCAAAGTGTGAAAGTGAAATGTAGGGAATAAATGATGGTGGGGGCATCTTAAGAGGGCTTTGCTCAGCCAACGAGACTTGGTTTCCATCATTCACTTTTCCCATCAGGCTAAGCAATACTTACACATGGTAAAACCAACTATATCAGGTTTGCTTTATAATTGCAGCTTCAATACTATCCTCATTCGATGTCGTCGATTCCACCTTTATCCTCACCTTTGCAAGGATTCTCAGCCCTACTCCATGGATCCAGACCGCTAAGCTTCGGACGGGGCGCACAGATGCGGATGCTGTTTCGACCGCTGCGGTGGAAGTTTAGCAAGGCCAGCCTGCATCGACCCGGCAGGCGGAGTTTCATGCGGCTATGCAAGGGTAGCTTGGTCTACCTATGGGGAGCTGTAGGCCACCTAGGACAGAAGCTATAGAAGCTGGCCACTGGCGAACGAGCATCGGCATCTCTTGAGCGCCGATAACCGAATGATTTATAAGCCAAGCCACCTATGTCGCAATAATGGTCTCCGGTTCTCCCGCCGTCTTCGAGGAGGGGAACCCCCCCTCATGTGAAGTGACCCATCACGACATCACTTCTCCAATGATGCAACTTATTGTTCCATGTGGTCATTGGTAATCACTTATTCAACCTGGACTCCTTAAAACGGTCAAGTTCCTCCTCACCAACGAACAAGTAAAACATACCAATTCGAGTATCGAAACAGCACCGCCGCCAATCCCCTTTTTACCCCGCAAAGAACCCCCCTCCAATCGACCCCGCAATGTCTTCCGCTCCCAAGATCAAGCTGTACACCAACCACGGTTGCCCATGTACGTGAGCCATCAACTCATTCACACGCTACCCTACCCTACTCCCCCCCCAGGATGAGCCTTTTTCATGCAGAAGACAGACACAAACGTGTGAAAATAAGCATGGCACTGGAGCGCAGGATTGGAGGCAACGTCAAGATTATGAGCTGATTCAATGCAACTGTCGTCAGGGGCTCACCGTGCACACATTGCACTTATCGAGCTTGGTCTCCCTTATGAGGAAGAGATCATCGACCTCTCCGTCCCCCGTACGCAGGAGTACCTCAAAGTCAACCCTCGTGGCTTGGTGCCTTCGCTTTCATATGACGGCGAAATCATCACCGAGTCAGGAATCGTCGCACAGTTCCTCGCCGACGCCCACCCATCTCATCTCCTTCCGCCTTCCAACTCAAAGGAGGGCGCTCTCCGCCGTGCGCGCATCAACTTTTTCGTCGATGCCTACTTCAGCAAGGCGAACCCTCTCATCTTCAAGATTTACAACGCCAAGTCGAACGACGAGGTCGAGGCGGCCGCTGATACCTTCGTCGATATCGTCGCCAAGGAGATCGAGCCGCTGCTCGAGGACGCCGCACCCTACTTTGGGGGCAGCGACAAGCCTACCCTAGTCGAGGTAAGATTGAAATTTTAGCACACCATGTGGTGGTTTTTCCGACGGCTAGCCTTATCGGACGGGAGGGTCCTCGGTTGAGTGAACGAACTATGCTGACGCCCCCCGGACCAGGTCCTGACCGGGTCTTTCACCCTCCGCCTCTTCTCGTTCGCCAACTACGAGCTGCTTCCGAAGCGCACTCTCACTGAGCTGGAGAAGAGGACCCCTAACTTTTACAAATGGGCACAGGCTGTCAACAAGACACCCAGTGTAACCCACATCTACGACGAGAAGAACGTCGTGGAGAGGACGAAGCACAGGATCGCCACCCTGCGAAGTGCGAGCAACTAAGCTTTGCCATGTATTTTCCAAGTAGCGAGCAATTTTATCATGAAAAGGACCAGAAAGCCGAAGCACAATCTGATGTTATCAAAGTTCCATCTGACCGCAACAAATCACCCGACTTTACGTTGACGGCCCAACCTCTATCCTAAAGCCTGTCCTTCTTGTGAGATGTGATTGGCCAGACCCGAGCGGTTAAATATGAAGAACGTCCTGGCGAGCAGTGAACCAACCCTAAGTGAGTTTGCTGTGGGTGGCTACGGCATGTCCGTTCCGATGCCAGATCGGCATGGCTTAAAGTGGAATTTACATGCGTTGGGAAATGTCTTTATTTTAGCAGCCCTGATACTCTCTAATATTACCCGATAAAGTGTACTACTCCCTCCATTTTGAACATATTAGACCGAATATACTGAATGATTATCGTCTTATAGCAACAAAAGGATACGGAATGATATAAAAAGCAAGATACAAGAGCTAGTAAAACAACTTCAAGTCTATATCAAACAACGATCGATTATAGCGAAAGCGGTTTGCCGGACTGTTCCGGTGGGAGCGATGTTTACCTGTTCTTCCCAGCCAATGTTATCCCAGTCGTAGAATAGTAGGCTCATCATTCTGACATACTACCTAGCAACTATGAAATGCTAAAAGCTACAGGCTACTCAAGTCAAATGTCTTGGCGACCAGGCTCCTCTGAACTGGTTCATCCACCCTACCATTTAACTACGTTTCAAGGCACACGTAATAGATGAGCGCAGAAGATTGTGCTGGAGAAGCCCAATTGGAATGGAAAGGAGAACACGGTTCAGAACAAATTATCGAGTGGTATTGCTCGCTCATCAGGTCACTATAGGTTTCACAGGGGGTGAAACGGAATTCCGTTCGTCAATAACAAATAACAGTAAATTGGTTCTAATCGATGGTTCATGATAGTTGAAAGTGGTGTTGTTGACTAGAAGGTGGGGATATTCCCCCTTGGCCTGTCACGTGGGTCTGGGAGGCTTGGGCCTCTCAGCCTGGCGGGCGTGTGGCTGGAAGTGCTACACGACTCCGTATTCCAACTATCGCAACACTGGAAACTCTCTTTTTATGGTGTTGAAGCGGTTGGAATACGTTGTCCCTATACAGTTCCGTCTCCTCGTTAATTCGGCCTCCTATCCCTACTTTCTCCCGTAGTTACGGTCTTATTACCTATCCCTCTATACGTATCGTTATCGTATTGCTATTAACGAATCTCTCGAGGGCTTGATTTAGTTTGCTCTTCGTAAGGGCATTAGTAAGGTTGTCTTCGCTGTTAATCTAACGAATTTCTTATAGTTCTCGTCTTTCGTACGATTATCTTAACGCTATAATATCGATCATAAGTCGCTTTTCTTTAGTAGTGCCTAGCTTTACGAGATACTCGTATAGCGAATAAGAATTGGTATAGATAACTATCTAAATCGTTAGTAGGTTAAGGTAGTTAGTAATTATTACTAAGGTTATAGCGAGGGCGTAGGCTATATCGACGCTAGCGACTATCCCGTAGATCTCTAACGCTAATACGCTATAAGTAACTCGTTTACTCTTCGTAAAGCTATAATAAACGAGGTTACTATAAATCGTAAATTCTCTATTATTACTATTAGAAGAAGTATTGTTAGCTAGGATGATTAGAAACCCTAATTAGGAGGAAAGGTCGTAGTTATTAGCAAACGACTTATTAACGAAAATAAATAGCTTAGCTATTATAAGGTTAAGTAAGATAAACGTTATTCCTCGGTTAAGCGATTCTATTTACTATCGAATCCGTTAATTTAGTACTTTTATCGCTTCTAGTAAGGGGTCTTAGTATTAAGTAGTAATAGATAAATCGAAACAGGCCTCGGGTTAGCAAATTAACGCGATGTACGCCCTTCTAGCGCGTTGTTCGACATATTGCTATTTTAGGTTAGGTTTAGTAGTCTTAATACATCGTAACTTCTTAGCTTATCCCTTTTGCCTTAAATTAATCGAATTGTCGGTTAATAGCGCGATTATCCCTCCGTTAAATTAGAAGGGTTTGTTAATTATAAGGATATTCTTCGCTTTTGCTATAAAAGCCGCTTTTTCTAACTATTCGTCTTCTAATTATAAGAACGCCTTGTCTAATAAACCGAGGGTATCGTCGGTTTATATACCGATATAGCTAAAGTATAGATTTTCGGTAGATAAGATTAATAAGTATAGATCGTACGAAGAAGTAACTATCTAGAGATTCTCTCTATAATACTTATAATACGTTGCCTACTAGTAGGTTCTAGCTTCTGCGATTCCGTATAAAGGCTTTACAACCTCTATAATAGTCCCTTTTAGGTACTAGTCTTGAATTTGCTTCGGTAGGTAGGCGAGAATAGTACGATTAAGCCTTATAGAGGATTAAACATAGGCTTATATAATATCTCGAAGCTATAGTTATTTCCCTTCTCGTAGGAGTAACGGGGTAATTAATAGAATTAGCCGTTAACTTGCCTGCTAAATCGTTAGCGATTAGGTTAATATAGCCTTCTTACTATCGTCGGCATAACCCTATATTATAAGTCTCGATTTCTCGTAGGGTTTGGTTGTTTTACCCTTGACTTCGTTAACGATACGAGATCGGAAGATTCGTACGTTCTAATACCTTCTCTTATTAAACTAAGTAAATTTAAATACTCCTCTAGCGATAAGGCTGTTAATCTCTTATTTAGTTAACTATTCGAACGGTTTGCTTAGTATAGTAATAATACCTTCTCGTCGTAGTTTAATTACTAATTCTTCGTCTACTTACTCCTTAATCGATAGGAATATTTATTAATAATCTAGGTTATCGTTAAATTCCTTTATAAAGTAGGCGATTAGTAGTAGTCTCTTCTAAGGTCTACCTAGGCGTCTTCTCGGTAGCTCCGGTGCCTCTTGCGGTTCGTCTGGTTTACTGCCTCCGCTAGCGACGATAATTTCGTCGCATACTACTTCCTACTACGGTATCTTAGCTTCGGGTTCTCCTTCTTCTAGCGCGGCAATAGAATTAGGTAGTTAATCAAGATCTTCGTAGTATAGTTTAACTATAGTAGACCGGAAGGTCTTTAGACTACGTAGCATATTGATAGTATAGGTTTCGCTGTTTATAGCTATTAAAGTAAATAGTCTAGTCTAGCCCTTCTTTTCGCGCTATACTTATACTTACGACCGTAGTAGTAAATTAATAATTAGCTTTATATCAAGGCTATTATAGGTAGCGATAGCTTCTACTACCTATCGCCTTGCGTAAAGTTTATATACTTTACTTATCGCCTTCTTAATCGCTTTCGCCTACCTTATAACTTCGGGAGATAGTAGCGAATCGTCGGTAATTCGTAGGTATAAGCCGAATACTAAGAGTATTAGCACTATTCCGTTTAGGCTAGTAGTATCGTTAACTACTTTAACTATTATTTAAAATGCTAATTCTAGCGTAATTGTTAGGTCTTCTGCTTTGATGATTTCGTACGCCCTCCTTAGAGGTATATAGTATCGTTTAACTTTCCTAATACTATGTGGGCGAAACCAGCACAGAACGCTCAGAATGGGAAAAGTGGTGTTGTTGGTTGGAAGAACTAACTAACTGGCTAGAGGGCTGTGGAGGCTGGCTAAGACCAGTGGTGGCGGCCGTCAGCCCACGTGACGGGCCGGCGAGGCCTGCCACCCACACCCCCTCTCAGACTCCTCAGCGAAAAAGCAGTAGAATAATAGGAAATACAGGAAAAGTCCCAAATCCTCCAAATCCGAGGAGTTCTCAACTATTAGAAAACTCGGTCAATTACCGGTTAAACCTGGCCAATAGGAGGCCGTGAAATCCTCCGAATCCCGAAGTCTCAATATCAATAGTCCCACAGTCTCAAAATCCCCCTCTCAATCCAATCCCTCCGCCATGCCCAACAAACGAACGAATTCCTTGTGTTTGACCGCAACCAGTGGCTTCGTGAGTCCATCGGCGGCCATATCAGCGCCCTTGATGAGTCGGAGTTCGATGCTTTTCGCAGTGTGAACCTCCTGTATGATCCATTTGTATCGGACGTCGATGTGGCGGGTTCGTGCCTCGTTGAGTGGGTTCATGACGTTGTCGTAGCCGTTGGCACTGTCAGTGAACATGATAGTAGGCGTGGTGATGGGTTTGCCGAGCAGTTGGGAGAGGCAACGTCTGATCCACTTCACAGCAATTGCCGTAGGTGTGAGATTGATGAATTCAGCCTCCGTGGTGCTCAAAGTCACGAAAGTCTGTTTCTTTGACTTCCAAGCAATCGGCGCACCAGCGAGGAAGACGACGTAACCACCTGTCGAGACTCGTGATGGCTTGTTGTCAGCGAAAGAGGCATCTGCAGCAGCGTAGAGCCCCAACTCGTTGATCGTGGGGATGCCTCCAAGTACAATACCGAGATAAACGGTGCCCTTGAGGTATCGGAATAAGTGCTTAATAGCACGAAGATGGGCCTTAGAAGGCCCTGAATTCGCCTGTGACAATTTACTGACGGTGTAGGCCATGTCAACGCGAGTTCCAGCCACCAGGAAGTTAAGGCAGCCGGTTTGTTCGATGTAAAGTTGTTGTTCGTCAAGCGAGCACTCGTTCTTGTCCCAGGTGACGGGCAGATCGTCAGTGGTCGCCATAGGCGTCTTGACAGCACTCAAACCATCAAAGTCGAATCGTTGAAGCACTGCTTTTGCGTACTTGGCTTGGGAAACGAAAATCTTACCGGCAGCTCTGTCGCGTTCAATCTGGAAACCGAGAAAATCGGTAGCCTCGCCGAGGTCTTTAAGAGAACAGACCTTCTCGAGGAGACGACGAACTTCCATCATGACTTGCTTGTTGGGAGCGGCGATGGCGTTGTCGTCGACGTACATAAGAACGTACGCTTTAATCTTGTGATTGACGAAGAGACAAACCTCCCCATCAACAGCAGTGAAGCCAATTCGTTCCATTTCACCCTTGATAAGTCGAAACCACCAAAGTGGTGATTTTCTCAATCCATAGA